CACAGCCGTGTCCAGCCTATCCCGTTCCCAGTCCCGCGCTCTCTGATCGCGCACAGCCGTGTCCAGCCTATCCCGTTCCCAGTCCTGCGCTCTCTGATCGCGCACAGCCGTGTCCAGCCTATCCCGTTCCCAGTCCTGCGCTCTCTGATCGCGCACAGCTGGGTCCAGCCTGTCCCGTTCCCAGTCCCGCGCTGTCTGATCGCGCACAGCTGGGTCCAGGCCGTCCCGTTCCCAGTCCTGCGCTGTCTGATCGTGCACAGCCGTGTCCAGCCTATCCCGTTCCCAGTCCCGCGCTGTCTGATCGCGCACAGCCGTGTCCAGCCTATCCCGTTCCCAGTCCTGCGCTCTCTGATCGCGCACAGCTGGGTCCAGCCTGTCCCGTTCCCAGTCCCGCGCTGTCTGATCGCGCACAGCTGGGTCCAGCCTGTCCCGTTCCCAGTCCCGCGCTGTCTGATCGCGCACAGCTGGGTCCAGCCTGTCCCGTTCCCAGTCCCGCGCTGTCTGATTGTGCACGGCCGTGTCCAGCCTATCCCGTTCCCAGTCCCGCGCTGTCTGATCGCGCACAGCCGTGTCCAGCCTATCCCGTTTCCCAGTCCTGCGCTCTCTGATCGCGCACAGCTGGGTCCAGCCTGTCCCGTTCCCAGTCCCGCGCTGTCTGATCGCGCACAGCTGGGTCCAGCCTGTCCCGTTCCCAGTCCTGCGCTGTCTGATTGTGCACAGCCGTGTCCAGCCTATCCCGTTCCCAGTCCCGCGCTCTCTGACCGCGCACAGCTGGGTCCAGTCTGTCCCGTTCCCAGTCCCGCGCTGTCTGATCGCACACAGCTGGGTCCAGCCTATCCCGTTCCCAGTCCCCGCGCTGTCTGATCGCGCACAGCTGGGTCCAGCCTATCCCGTTCCCAGTCCCGCGCTCTCTGACCGCGCACAGCTGGGTCCAGTCTGTCCCGTTCCCAGTCCCGCGCTGTCTGATCGCACACAGCCGGGTCCAGCCTGTCCCGTTTGAAGCGTCGGCGCTGGCTGTGCGTCCATTCCGTCCGGTTCGAGCCGAGGGGCTTCTGCGGCGGCTCGGCTGTCCGTGACCGATCTGCCATCTGGCGGCCGCCGGTGGCGGCACACTGACCCAGTGCCGCGAAGCACCGGCGGCGCAGCTCTCAAACCGCACCGCGCTCGCCGTCGCGCCGCGCCGACCGCCGGCCGGGTTTGAGAGCCGCGGCCGTCGCCGCCGCCGCCGTGCGTCCAGAATAGTTTCAGAGCTGGGGCGGCGGGGCGGCGGTGCGCGGTCGGCCGGGCTCGCGCGCGTGTCGGGGCCGCCGGTGCGCCCTGAGTCACGCGCCGCGCCCCAGCCGCCGCCTGGGCGCGGTCCCGTGGCACGCGCCGCGCCAGCTGACGTGCGCCGATCGCATCCGATCGTCAGTCAGCGTGTGGCGTCGAGCGGCGGCGGCGCACCGGCCGGTGCCGGCGACCCGAGGCCATGTTCTCCAACCGGGACGGGCGTGGTGCGGCTGCAGTGCTACCGGCGGCGCGCCCGCTCGCCGCCTCTCGGTCAGTGCCTCACGCGGCCCGCCGCTACCCCTCCCCCCCCCCCCCACCTTCTCCGTGGTCGGCCGGGGGTTCGTAACCACTGCACGGGCTTGTCACGTGTGGGTCTCTGCCGTCGTCCGTTTTCGATTGTCGTCCGTTGGCTGGGAATTGGGGAGAGCCGATCTGTGTAAACGAGATGGGTCGCTGTCATGCAATTGGCTGGCGCCGAATGGGTTCATTTCCCGCCTTGTCTGTTAGACCAGATCGTTGCCACGTTGTCGCCCCTGAGGCATGGACATGAATGTCTGGTGCTGACGTTATCCGCAAGATCGCCATGCCAGCGAAGCTTTGCCGGAAGTTAAAGTTTCCCGGGCGTCTACAGCACGCTTTGGAATGCATCGCTTCAACGGTGGGTTTGTGTTTGCGTGGCAGCTTCGTTCGGTGCTTCATGGTCATCTCCGTCCATCAGGTGGCCTCAGCAGCGCGCGTGGCGCTGCGCCGATAGACGTATGTTATCCTCCGCACGTTGGAAAGCATGACTTAGGCTACCGGTCAACGGGGAAGGTCGACGATTAGCGTCGCGCCTACTCCCGGCAGACCGGGGAGGCCTGCCGTGCTCCATGTTCGAAGCTGCTGGTCAACGGGGAAGGTCGACGATTAGCGTCACGCCTACTCCCGGCAGACCGGGGAGGCCTGCCGTGCTCCATGTTCGAAGCTGCTGGTCAACGGGGAAGGTCGACGATTAGCGTCACGCCTACTCCGGCAGACCGGGGAAGCCTGCCGTGCTACATGTTCGAAGTCTGGGCTCCGGTGCCCCGGCGAAGCGCCTGAGGGGCCGGCCGTGACGTCCCGTGACCGGCCGGCCGTGACGTCCCGTGACTGACCGGCCGTGACCCCGCCACTCACCGACCTGACCTGGCAGCTGGCCGGCGGGACGTAGCTCGAGCCGCCGGAGTGCGGGGCGCAGCTCCGGGTCGGGCCCGCTCACGGACGGTCCGGCCCCCACCGGGCTGCCGCTCCGCCGCTCGCACAAGGCTATCGATTTAAGGAGCGGAGGGGCTCGCCGCTAAGCCGGCGTTGTGGCCGCCCGCGGCACCACCTCACCGATGACACTGATTGTGTAGTCACGAGGGAGTTGGCGCGTGCCCTTGAGCTCGCCGCCGACACCGGTCGCTGCGTCGCTGGCGTCGGCGCTCAGGTTGTCGGGTCGAGCAAGGCGGCCGGGCTCCGTCGGACAGCTGAGATAGCGGCGTCAGCTGCGCGTCGCCTGTGACGCCGCCCGGCTGCGCAGTCCAGACGCGGCAGCCGTTTAGCCCCGTGACTGGTGTGCGGCAGCGTGCGGCGGCTCCGAACGCAATGCCGCACCGTTACGGGGCCTGATGTGCCATTTCCGTGGGGCGTGGAGAGGTGCGGGGCGGCTTCCCCTCGAGCTGTTGTCCGTGGACCGTGGAGATGTGACGGGCGGCTTCCCCTTGAGCTGTCCGTGGACCGTGGAGAGGTGAGGGGCGGGTTCCCCTTGAGCCCGTGTCCATGGACAGTGGAGAGGTGACGGGCGGCTTCCCCTTGGGCCCTTGTCCGTGGACTGTGGAGAGGTGAGGGCCGGCTTCCCTTGAGCCCTTGTCCGTGGACCGTGGAGAGGTGAGGGCCGGCTTCCCCTTGAGCCCTTATCCGTGGACCGTGGAGAGGTGAGGGCCGGCTTCCCCCTGAGCCCCTGTCCGTGGACCGTGGAGAGGTGACGGGCCGCTTCCCCTTGAGCCGTTGTTCGTGGACCGTGGAGAGGGTGAGGGCGGGTTCCCCTCGAGCCCTGGCGCGCCGCAGTTGGACGCTGCGGAGGAGCTGGAGTCGACGCCACCGCTCCGCGGGCCTCCATCCTGCAGCAGCTGCGCTCCGTTCGAACGTCGTTTTGGTGCTCTGCCGCACGCTCAGCACGCAACATCCTTGTCAAAGGACGCCTCCATGCGTACCACCCCACGCTGCCCGCCCCCCAGGGCACCGGAGGCAGCGGCAGCCTGGTGTCTGGGGCGCCCGCCGCTGCCCGGGGCCGCCGCTGCTGCAGCGTCTGCAGAGCAAGCGCGAGGGCCGGCGTCGGCGCGTGGCCGCGCACCGCTGCGGGCCGCTGAGCGTGGCTGGCTGTTCCACTGCACGTGGGGCCGGCCGGCGGCCCCGGCCGCGCGACCCGGTGACACGCGGGCCGCACGGGTCGCGGCGTGACGAGGGGCGTCGCTGCCGCTATTGATGTCATGCGGCGGAGCGAGCCCAGACACGCCGGCACGAGCCGGGCCTGAGCGGCGGCTGCATTGTCGCCGTGTGAGCTTGCAAGTAGGAGGGTGGGGGGGGGGGAGGGGGTCATTATGCCTGGCAAGAGTTGCGTCTGGGTCAGCACAGGCGGCAAATGTGTGGCCGTTATTACCTGTTAAGGTGATGTGGCTACGTCTGTTAGATGTTCGGTACTTCTTGCCAATAGTGCTAGTGGTGGACAGAATGTGACCAATTTTTATTGGCCGCATGCTGTGAAACATTGAAAACATGCGGACATGGTACATCCACCCCGGGAAATGATCATTCATTTGCCCGGGGGTATTTGCGTGCCCTGGCATGACATCCGCGAGATGGTGGCCGCCGCCGGAGCGCACACTGTGGCCTTGTAAACGCCTACGCCGTGGACGTTTCCGTCAAGTCGATTTCAGGCTTGACGCTTCTGACGCTCCCGTCGCCGCGAGCGTTTCTGTCGGGGACGTTTCCGCCCAGTGTGACCTAGCCTAGTCTGTGGCTTCGCGGGCTTAGGACGTGACATGTCTCGCGCTGCAGCAGACTGCGCCGCTTGCCCTGTTTTTGCAAATCCTTTTTCACGGGGACGGGGAAAACCAGCCCAGACCACTGCTGGCAAGACTCCGGGGCCCACTGCAACAGTTTGGGGCTCTATGCATACTTTTGCCGCGCCGGTCTGCAGTTTCATGTTGGAATGAAAGCCAAGAGTCATTGAATGGCATGGACAAAAATGTGCCTGACTAGGTTGGTATCCCTGTTTCGTGCTAAATGAAAGGAAAATATGACAGGGGGAAATAGCACAAAAAAAGAATAGCAAAGTCTAAGACTGGGCAACTGTGGAAAGGTAAATACCTCACAGAGTAATGTTATCGATATATATATATATATATATATATATATATATATATATATTTGTCTGTATATATATATACATATATATATATATATATATATATATATATATAATATATATATATATATATATATATGTGTGTGTGTGTGTGTGTGTGTGTGTGTGTGTGTGGTGTGTACATATATACGTATATCTGCGTGTGTGCGTGCGTGCGTGTCTGTTGGAGACCCCGTAACCCTGCGCTGACGTGCCGTACCTGCCACAGAGCCGCGGGTGCCGGTGGAGTCGGCCGTCCCGGCCGCGGGGGATGTGTACCGCGTGCCACCGGAGGTGGCGGCCAGTCTGCCGCTGCGGGGTGGGCGACAGAGTGTGCTGGATCAGGTGAGCTGCGAGCTATCGCCTCCCCGCCCTTTCCACCCCCACCCCCCACGCGGCCACGGAGACGTCCGACGGGGGGGAGAATCTCCGCCGAGTGGGTCATAGGCGTTCCTGGGGCCGGTCCGTCACGCGCTCGCGGGCGCGTTGAATGGTCCGCGTCGTGATCCGTGGACTCTTAGTGTGCTAATAAAGCTTGTATTTATTGGATACATGATTCATACGTACTGGGGCATTTTTGTCTTGCAGACTTGTTCTGCGTCGCGATAGAGAATTTCTCCATAAATCCGGGTGCAATGCTCACCGTTCGTCCTGATTTTCTGGCGAACAAAAGCACGTAATTGGGCGTCGACGGTAAAGTGATCTCACCCCCGACAAACGGAGACGACTGCTGAACACTTTTGACCGCCACGACCATGACGCACGAGAAAGCGCCGCGCGGTTGTCTGTCCCTGAGTATTTGCAAAATCCTTGTAAGCAAATTGCCACTGACGGTGGATGGCGGACTTGGCTAAAGCTAGTTTGTCCCCAGATGGTACAGTAACTTGTGAATTCCGACTACACAGCGTTTCATGTGGGCGCTGTTGGATTGCTTTCATGATCAATTCAGCCTGCGGGGGATGTCTGCCTGGACCGGAACCCGCGCTCGGGCTGGGGTCCTCCCACATGGGCGTGCCGGCGCTGCAGCGGCGCTGCGCGGCGGTCGGTGGGGAGTGGCGTGGTCCGGGTCGCCCCGAACCGCTCCGCCCCGACAGCGGTCCGTGCTGGGCGCCGGTGACCGCGGCCAGGCCTCGCTCCGTCTGCGCTGGGACGTTTCCGTGCCGGTGTGACACTGGCGCGGACGCGACACTGGCTACAGCTGTGTGGCGCCTGGCTGGAGATGACCCATGCTGACCCATGATCCATCATGACCCATGATGCCCCACGTGAAATGAGCCGACCGGATTGGGCATGGTGCTTGTGAACTTGACAGCATTGCTTGGTATAAGGTCATGTAACGTGGACGACCTAGCTTAAACACCTCTACTTTGTTCATTTGTTTTGTAACGGACATTGTCCGTACCCTGGGTCCCGCCAACCTGGTGTGACATCAGTGAACCTGATCTGACCTGGCCCTGACCCACTCTGATTTGACCTGGCCGTGACCCACTCTGATTTGATCTGAACCTGACCCACTCTGATCCGACCTGGTCGTAGCTTCAATCTGACGTGAGTCTGATCCACTCTGATCTGACCTGAGCCTGACTCACTCTGATCTGACCTGAGCCTGACCCTCTCTGATCTGACGCGGTCTCGATTAATCCGTGCCTTACTTGACTTGAGCTGACCTCCGGTCGTGGTGACCGCCTTCGTGCTATGGGATGTAATCCACAGCTCTTCTTTGTTGACCGACTTCTTGGCAGCATGTTGTGGCCTTATGGGGAGCCCTCTGACGATGCTTGATCCAACCAAGGCTTACCTGACTTACGCAGACCAGATCAAACTCGACCTGGTTTACATGAACCCGGCATGGTTTGCCCCTCCTAATTGTGACATAGCTCACGTGGATGTGAGCCTAAATTGATCACATCGGAATTGACCACTCAGAAGCTACCTGACCGTGTTTAAGCTATCCCACCTGAGCTCAACTGACCTGATCTGATCTGTTCTGACCTGGCCTGACCTGACCTGACCTGACCTGACCTGACCTGACCTGACCTGATGCGCGGCCGCAGTGACGTCGGACCGGAGCCGGGTGTCGTCGGCTGGATCGGCAAGCTGCCAGCCGAGGACGGCGGCAGGGACTGGATGGTGGGCGTCGAGTTCGTAAGTACCCGGTCCGGCCCGCTCCCCCGCGGTCACCGCCGCGGTGCGGTGGCGAGCGCTGGGGAATCCCGGCTCGCGCACCGGAGTCGTCGCTCGTTTCAGCGTTGCGCAGACACACGTGCGTGGGCTTCAGAAGTGGGCCTCGCCATTCGAACTTTGAGTTCTGGGGTACCATGTGTTTCATGGTGGTGATTGGGGTTTTAGGACGCGCCTATTTCTGACGTCATGTTGCGCCCATACCATGTGTTTCGAGATATCGCGTATTCATTATGTTATTTCACTGAAGAGTCATTTCGGGTGATGGGTTCTCTGCCAATTTTTGTTGAATAGCTATCTAAGATACAAAATCTGTTCTGTGGAATGGTGTTCAGGGTGCATGATTCATTCGAAGGTTTATCATAGCATCTTGGGAAGTCCATTTCGTTGAAGCATTCAGTTTCATCACTCTCACGTCAACCGGTGGAGTTCTTTTAACCGTTTTTAAGTCCCAAAGTTTAAATGTAAATTTAATTTTGTCACAAAATTGTCCAGGATCCTCGGGCTTTGGAGCGTTGTGGCTGGCCTATAACTTCCAAAGTATAGAATTCATTTGGGCTACACGGGAGTAACCAGATGATAATAACCTCGTCGTGCTGTTCCCCGACAAGAAAAATCTGTTACGGGCACTGCTTGATGGCTCTCAACGTAATCCGTGCCAGTTTTCCTTTCATAACCTTCCTTCATAAGCAAACATTGCTACTCGTTTTGTTGGGCATTTTCCTCTGGAATCCAGTTTTCCTAGAACCCGGGTCCATTTGATAAATTGTTGGGGAAATTTCTGAGATGCTCGGATCCTGTAAGCAGCTGACAGATGGGCTTTGTAGAACGCAGCATCTGTTCGACTAAACTACCGTTGAATCTCATGGGATCCCAGATCCAGTTCAAAGTTGTCGCTGCTGACATAGCGACGCTTAGTAACGGCCCGTGCGCTGTTGACGTTCTCGAATGTCCGGCAAATGGGCAGGTATCGGTCGCATGTGGTTAATGCGATCAAGAGTCATGTCTTTAGAATACAGAAGTCGCCAATAACTGTTAATTGGAATAACATTCGGGTGCGTCGTTCTTGCGCACCGCGTGTCTCCGTCTAGTCCAATCAGCTGATTGTACTCGCGCCCATTTTGGAATTAAGGACATTCTTCATGGGTGTGTGTCCGCGACACCATCTCAATGGGCGGGGCGTAAGTCGTAAGCCAATGAGGAACCAGGTCCTGGTGGCGAGTGTGTATCGTCTCCCGCCGGCCGCAGCGGCCGCGCGCCCTGGCGCCGAGCTCTGAAGCAGACCAGCCTCCGCTGGTTGGCGGCCAGCGCTCTCGAGCTCGCCGACCCGTTCGCGACAGACATGGATGCCCCCCCCCCCCACCACACGTGAAGGGGGTCACACGAGACGCTGCGCTGGAGCGTACGTGCTGGGCCGACAGGGGAGGCGACGAGCTGGGCGCGACGGTGGCGGTGCAGGACGCGGCGTCACTGCGCCAGTCTCGTGCGAATGCGCCGGGAGATCGGCCATCACGCCGCACGCCGGCTCACTGGGCGCACCCCTGGTCACCGGACCGAAAATGTGGGAGCCGGGAGGGTGTCCCGGGAGGGCGGGCTGAGATTCCGTGACGCTGTGAGGGTGGCGGCTTCGTGCCGTCGCGAGGGTGTCACGACTCGACCCGTAACACATCGGCGCCGTTGTCGGCTACGGGGTTAACAGCCGCCGCGGGTCTGGCCCAACGAAGCGGGCGGCTGCAGCGGCGCAGGCGTGACTCACGACTTGAAGTGCGATGCTTTCTGTCGTCACCGTCTCGTGGCGGCGAGGTGCTATCGGCCGAGGGTTGTGGTGCGGCCGGTGTTGCACCGCCGGCCGGCCCTACGCTCTGATTGCGGCCGTTGCGCAGGTCGTATGTCTGGCGCAGGGGCGCGGGACGGGGCTGGGGTTGGGACAACCCCGTAACTCTCCCGAGGTTCGACGTTGGTTGCATTTAGTGGTGACTCGAAAACAATAGCCGAAAAATGGTTATGAACCCTCCCTAGCTTGGCGGCTCTTCCAGTTCTCCTGGTCTGGCGTGTCACCCACAGCCGTTTGCGTGTTGGTGCGGCTCGGGTGTGTGTCGCTGCTGCACATGCGTGTGTGGGCGGCGAGCTCTGGTCCGGACTAGTTCGACCTCCGTGTAACCTTCCACTGCCTGGATGGGAACACTCGCGCGCATCAGATACCGGCAATGTGATGACATCTTCCATAGGTCGTATCCAGTAAGCGCCGCGCCTAACTTAGTGCTGGCCGTTCGGGAATGCGTCGCAATATCCCCGTCTGGGCTACGGCGGCGTATTTGACCTGGACTGCTGGTTTGACCTGACCTGACCTGACCCGCCCCGCCGCCGCAGGACAATCCGGTCGGCTCCGGGAACGGCTGCTACCGCGGCCACCGCCTGTTCGCCGCCAAGCTGAACCACGCTTCCATCGTGCCCATCAACGGCCTGATGCGCGCCGAGGACCTGGAGCTGCCGGCGCCGGGCGGCCCTGCCGCCTCCTCCGAGATCGGCGTGCCTGGTGAGAGGAGCACGCTGCCACGCCCGCGCCCGGCTCGCGTCCGACCCGGCTCAGTCCACCGAACTCGAATGCTCGGCTCTCCCCGCCCGCTCCAGTCCCGACCACATCCTGCCTAGGCCCGGCCCAGTCCCGACCACATCCAGCCTAAGCACGGCCCGGTTCGGAGGTCGCCTCGACCACAATGGTCAGACGCTGGAGGGGAGGGGGGGGGGGGGGGGGAGGGCGCCTCAACGACAGTGGTCATGCGCTGAAAGGGCGCCTCGACGACAGTGATCAGGCGCGAACCGAGCCTGGCGCGCTGGCCAGCCCGTGTCAGCTCGTCGGGAGAGGGGGAGGGGGAGAGGTACCCGGGCCGGTAACAGCCCCGGTGGGGAGTGCGGGATGTGCCCCGCCTGGATCTTCCCAGGACCTCGCTGCCACGCTGTCGACCCTCAGCATGCCGCTGCGGCGTCCAGTGCCCCTCTAAACCTGCCGGAGGATTGGGCGAACTGCTGTTGGACCCACAATCATCGCAGTGTTTCGCGTGTACTCCGCACACTTGTGCGCTGGCTACAAAACCTCGGCGTTTTTACGTTGTTTTTTACCTCCACGCCATCAACGATTAGGACACGCTGCACCTGTGTGTTGGTAGGCGAGAGTTTCTGAACTTGTTTGGATTGTGCGTCATAACCCATTAGGGTAAGGCCATGACTCAGACTGCTGCGCGGTGTTCCCAGTATGACGGCCCGAGCGGCGCACGCAGCCGGCTCACATTAGACAAAGGCACGGTGGGTCGGCCGCCGAACTACACGACGTCACATTTGAGGCGTCGCCTCGACAGACGTGCGATCAGAATGCTGGGCTTGCGGGCAGCAATGGCAGCTGCGATGGGTTTCAGTCTTACTAAAACGAGTGCGCTGCCCGAGAACGAGTGGGAGGCTTTGTCACGGACGGTCACGTTGTAGTTTTGTACCCGTGCCAAAGATAAAGACAAGTCTGTCGTACGGGTTTGGTTAACGGCCTCGGGTAAAAGCATCGCCGCGTTGAGACGACGTGGGTGGTGAGCAGTTTGACGCAACAAGCCGTGCTTGGCGATGACGTATTCCCACGTCATTGGAGGAAATGATTCATGCCGCCGTCCATGAAAGAGGTCGTTGCAAACAGCGATAGTGACGCGGTATTAAGTGTCAACAGTGACAGCCACACGCCATGCGTCGTACGTAGGCGGCGAATAATAGACAAACCCCTTCGCAAAGCGACCAGATGTGTGCCTTGCAGCAGCCAAGCACGGCCGGTGTAGTCGCAGCGGAGCGGTGGCGCACCGCGCCAAATTCGGCCGCGAGTGCCGCTGTTTGTCATGCGGCGGCCGGCCGCGCGGCGAGCAGGGGCGCGCGGCCGGCCGGCACTGATGGCGACCACAGTTAGACGGCGGCGCGGCCGGCCGCCGCTCGCCGAATGGTGCCATTGGAGGCAGATGCCGCGCCGCCCCGGCCCTCTGCTGTGCGCCGCCCCGGCCCTCTGCTGTGTGCCGGCCGGCCCGGCGGCGGCGGCCGGGCGGCGGCGGCCGGGCGGCGGCCGGACGGCGGCCGGGCGGATGGAAGAGCAGGGCCGGAAGTCAAGCCGTGTATGGGAGTTGCGTGGCCGGGCTGTGGCGCCGACACCGCCGATGTAGCACGTGCGATCCAGCGCCAGTACAGGCGAAGAGAAGAGCGTAGTGAGGGCTCGATGCGAAGCGGGGGATATGGAGATAGCATGGAGCTTATTCAGGGAAAGGCTGCGATCGTTTTCGTTCTGTTTGAATGACAGACAGCTGTATGATTATTTGGCTGGGACAGGTTTTTGCCTAGTTGTATGATATGGACGCGTTCCATCGATTTTAATAGTTTCCCTCCCCACGTGATTACAAACTTGAGTCGGCCGCTCTTGGCGGTCGTGACGCGGCGCTGTGCGGAGGTGGGATCCGTTTCCAGCGCCGCAGCTCAGTCCCCCGACTGCTGTGCTTCGCAGGCAGTGACGGGGTGACCGGATGATCAGGGCTGCTTTTGGGGTTCGCGGCGGAGCGAGGCGCCACCACTGACCATGCCGCTGACATGCCTAGACGATCACCGCCGATCACCGCGCGGCGATGGCCACCGTCGAGCCGCGTGACGTGACGTGACCTGGCGCCCTGTCGACAGCGACGGCGCTGGTGGAGGGCTCGCGCGGCCGGGCGGCGCCGGCCGCCGCGCCGCGCCGCAACCTGGAGCTGCACACCTCGGATGAGGAGGAGCTGGCGCCGGCGACCGTGCGCGGCCACGAGTTCACCGACGACCTCCGCCACCTGCCGCCCTTCCACCGCATGGCGTACGAGCAGCTGGTGGCGGGCAGCGCGCCGCCCAGCCTCGCCCGGCTGGCGGACGAGCGCGACTCTCAGCTGCAGGTGCGTGGGCGCGCCTCGGCAGGCCGCTCCGGCGGGGCGGGGTTCTGAGTCGGCCCGGGCGCGAGCGGCCGCCTGCCAGCTGGTGCCGGCGGCAGGACCGCACGTGACGTGCCGTCCGTTCGTTTGGCAGCGTCGGGTAGCGGGTTTTTCCGCCGGGGCTTTAGGCACGATCCCCTTGTGCTGTGCTTCTGGGGCGGCGCGGCAGGCGCCGGTCCGATCCAGGCCGGAGGAAATGTCGGGCTTCCTCCGGCGCCCGCAGCCGCGTGATCTATCTGCACGGCACCGCCGTCGGCGCAGTCGGCTCAGGAAACTTGTCAGGGTAGCCAGCCGCCGCCGGGAAAATGGATCGTCTTTCCTCAGTGAACCGGCTGATTTAAATAAGATTTAAACCCACCCAAACCTGATGTGTCTTGTGACGCTGGCGGCTAATTGGACTGCGGGGACGGCTTGGCAAGATGGCAATGCGTCATGGTGGAAAGGGTTCCGTGGCTTGCTCGTTCATGCGTGTTCCCTGCGCTGTTGATGCGGCGCCGGGCTGTCGCCGCGACATGTCTGGTTCCAACGCCGCGCCGCCGTCTCCGCCCCCGTATGTTGCGCGCTGCGACCCACCGGCCATGCGCACTGCACTCTGTCATGCATCTGTCATGCATGGCGCCCCGTCGTATTTGTCTCGTAAACAGCTGTGTTAGCAAAGACCCACGTGGATGGCTTTAGATTCAGGGCACGTACTGGTTCGTAGACCGCCGGCTCGCCCTGTCTCCCTCTGGTCGATGGCGATGTTTGTGCGCCTCGACCCGGCCTGTCCCCGCGCTGAACCCCCCCCCCCCCCCGACCCCGGTCCGTGGACCGCTGTCGGCTGACCGGTGACCGCTGGCGGGCAGTCGAAGCCGCAGCGGGCGTCGGCCGAGAGTGGCGGCCGGCCGCGTCGACTGCTGCCGCTGGCCGACCTCAGCAACGCGCAGACAGTGCCCGCCGGCGACCGGCGCCGCCACCGGCGCAAGGACAAGCTGCTGGCCAGCCCCAGCCCGGACGCATCGCCTGTCGACGGACTCAGAGGTGAGGGAGCGAGGGAGCGAGGGAGCGAGGGAGGGATAGGTCGGGGTGGGATAGGAGGTGTTCAGGTCGGGAGAGCATCGAAGCCTTCTGCTGTGAGGTATATAGTGGTTAGGCTTTGATGTTTGCCTGTCCACATTGGTGGTGTATGAGGATTGCAATTATGACATTGGCATTGTCCCAAAACCTCCAAAAGTAGGCGTGTTTAGCCGTCGATGTTTTCAGAACTCAGGGTAATTGGAAACATGACGTCCGTGACGACGGCAGCGTTTGCGGGCGACTTGTAATCTCACCCACCAGTCCCAAATGGCTGCCGGCGGCGGTCGTCTCACCCCGCCGCCTCACCGCGCCACTGACCTCCCGGCCGGTAGCCGGCGGCGGTCGTCTCACCCGCCGCCTCACCGCGCCACTGACCTCCCGGCCGGTAGCCGGCGGCGGTCGTCTCACCCCGCCGCCTCACCGCGCCACTGACCTCCCGGCCGGCTGCCGGCGGCGGCCACCTCACCCGCCGCGTCACTGACCTCCCTCCGACCCGTCCGGCAGACGGCGAGCCGGCCTGGACGGACGCCGAGGTGTCTGTGGGCTCGGCCGTCGAGGTCGACATTCAGGGCCTGCCGCAGTACGGCGTCGTGCGCTGGGTGGGACGCGTGAAGGGCGACACCAAGCGCCTTCAGGTGGCTGGCGTCGAGATGGTACGGCCCGCTGCCGGCGCCCGCCGCGGCCGCCGCGCCACCCACGGCCCCGCGTCTTGTGCCCAATGGTTTGCCGAACGTTGGGCGTGCCGTATGAGTCTTTGTGGACATCAGTGTCTTTGTCATGTACTCTTTCGTTCGCGAAGAGGGCTTGTCTTGCGGCTAAGCCGGTAAAGTCCTCTGTTTTGTGTTATATATGCACTATTATGTTGTAGTATGGATTATCTTCCTTGCTATGTGGCACGTTCCCTATTACCTACTCCGTTAACATCTGGCAATTATTATCTCCTTTGCTCAGTGATATGTGAGTTGCGGGCACCGTAAAACCAAGCAGCTGAAGTGGCTTTAAACCTGAATCTCCATCGTCATCAGGGGGTCAAGCCCCCGGGGGGGGGGGGGGGGGGGGAGGGGGCAACGGTCGGGGCGCTCTTTACGGGAGGAAGCCGCAGGAAACCCAAGTGTTCGCACTCGTGCCGTTTGGCGCAGAGGAGCTGGAGTTTCGCAGCCAGTGCAGGGTGTGTGTCCTCGACCCGCGCCTCTCCCCTCCCCGCCGCCTCGTCACGCACCCCGCGCCCGCCGCAGGAGGACGACGACACGGTGAGCGGCGGCGACGGCTGCTTCAACGGCGTGCGCTACTTCAGCTGTCAGCCGGGCAAGGCGCTGTTCGTGCCGCTGGCCGACTGCGGCCGGGACAGGCGCTTCCTCGACCTCGGCCAGGAGGCGCCCGACGCCAACGGTACGGAGGCACGCCGCAGCGGCCGCCGGCGACGGCGGAGAGGCTGCGGCCGCGGCGCCGGCACAGCGACGAGGGCCGCACGGCGGCCAGGGTCGCGGACGCGCGGCCAACAGAGTGGGGCGGTGGTGCGCTGTGCCCTTTCGCCCTCCAAACGCCCCACCCATTGTTATCACCGCAGCGCCGCGATGCGGGGGAGGAGGTTGATCCCGCCTGATGCAGCCGGGGTGCAGCAGAGCGGGTCGCTCTGTTGCGGTGCAATGCGTGCAGGGTGAGGGGGGGGGGGGGGGGGAGGCGGCCGTAATGCGGACGGGGCGTGCGGCTCGCCTGGCTGCGCTAATTGGAGCTGTATCTGATAACGTATCGCTGGATCGGTGGCTTGCGTGTCGGTGATCAGCTCACAGCTCAGTGCTGCCTCTTGGAGCCCCCGTCGAACAGATCATGGGCATATTTCACGCTATAAATATCACCTTGCCGCGTTCACCCAACATCGGAAACGTCTACAGGACACGGAGGGCCGCACTACAAAGACGTATTTTGGGATTTTCCGGAAGCGTTTGATGTATTGCATTCTAAAACACCGTAAGGCGACGCAGCAGAACCTGGTGCAGCGAAGAATGGTACCTGTGATGGAATCTCAAAACGTACAGCATGGGTGCTCATGTCCCTCGAGTCGGATTTTTTTGAGACATCATTCCCTGGGTAGCAATGAAGCCATCGTGCAGACCCCGGGCAGCCTGGGCCGATATCGAACACAGTGACCGGCCAGCCTGTACCGCGTTGCCTGAGGGGTGACATCGGGCTAAATCTCGTCCAACACTGGGGCTAGTCGGTGTTAGTGAAGCGTCGGCTTTGGGCGGCGCCGGCCGACCGGCCTGGGCCTGGCTGCAGTCCGCGACGGTGGCTGCCCCCCTCCCCCCTCCCCAGCATTGTCACAGGCTGGCCTCGCTGCTGTTGACACGTGCCTTGCGTCAGGTTGTAACCGGGGTCAGATGGGTTCGTGGACATGTGAAATGCGATGCTTTTAATGCTGCGGCAGAACAGAGGCCAGGAATGCGGCGTATGGAATCATGCGTTCCTCAAGAACCCAAGGCTTGCATTAGAGTGCATCTGGTTAGTTAAAGCTGATTTTTTTTTCAAGGCCTCTCGCAAAGTATGCGACAGTGCTGTACGTGACTTGAATGGCCTACGTTCGATGTATTTCAATGCGGGCTTGTTGCTAGACGGTTACACGTCCCTGTATGTGATGATACTCTTCGGTAGCACGTTCCAGGACCACACTGTATTCGGCTCCGTGCATGTGCCATTGTGTGTTTTAATTAAGCATTGTTTATTTCAGCGTTCGGGAGTGTGGAATGCCCTGTGATAACAGGCAATGTAGCACCGATCTCAGTGACATCTACCGAGGAACTAAAGAAGCTCTGCGGCAAGCTGAAAGGCATCCAGGGCCATCTGAACTCATGTTACTTGGACGCCACCCTGTTCTCCATGTTCGCCTTCACGCCGTAAGTTTCAGATGTGTTGAGAAAACTATACGCGGTCTACCAATAGTACGATAATTTTCGAGTCGCAATCAATCGGTAAGTCCTACCCAGTGAACCAAAAATAATTTAGGAACTAGGTACGTCCAGAGACGCCGTTTAGCTCGGAAACTCCTTGGTCATTTGATATCTTTGCGCCCAGAACACTTTTGGGTGGTTCATATCCCCTTTAATTCCGAAACCCCCAAAGCACTGATTGTAACAGGCCCTTCAAATAAAGGAGTAATGGATCTGTGGACGTCGCGAACGGTGACCCCATGCATGCCGAGCTGTAACGAATGCCCTGCCACATTATTTAACACTTGACGCCGTAAAGCAGACGTTTTATGTGATGAAGGCCGCGGCATGCGGTAAAGCCAGCGGAATGCTGTGTTGCTCGCCGCGCATCGCTTGTCCACGGCACGAGCGGTGACGCGCCGGCGCTGCCGGTCTTCGCAGCGTGCTGGACAGCCTGCTGCACCGGCCGAAGCGGCCCGGCGACATACCCGAGTACAGCGAGGTGCAGCGCCTGCTCAAGGAGGAGATCGTCAACCCGCTGAGGTGCGTTGCTCGGCCGCACGCGCTGGCCGCGCCGGCGCCGACGGCCGCCGCCCGCCGGGACGGCGTCCGCGGCTGACGGCGCGCGCCGCTGACCCAGCCGGCCGGAGCGGGGCGCCAGCTGAAGCGCCGCTGACCCAGTCGGCCGGAGCGGGGCGCCAGCTGAAGCGTCGCTGCCGCCGCCAGATGACGCGCGGCCCGTGGCGGCGGCGGCCCGTGGCCACGCACCATTTTGCGCTCGTCACGGGCGTGTTTTTGTGACTGGTCGCCGTCTGGCGGCTGGTGACGGCGAGCCGCCGCCGAGTTGTGCGCGTGCCGTCACGCGCGCAGCTGTCGCGTGAGAGCCGCGGATGCTGCCGCTCGCGTGCGCACGCTGTCACGCGTGTCACGCATACTTGTGCACGGCGCCGGCGGGAAGTGGAGCGAACGTGCAGCTGCTCTCGGCTCGAATTCAGTTGGCCTCGTTTTGCCGTCCTGTTCCACGTGGGGACTGTTAAATTGGCTGATTGATTGCATGGGCGTGACGGGTTCGGTTTGTCCTTCGCCCAGTTTTGGATGGCTGTGATATTATCACGCTTTGATGCTGCTGAGAATTGTATGTGCGTGGCAAATCGATTCCGAGCTACGACTTGTGGAGCACAAGTTCCATAGGCTTGCAAGTATCTTTTTTTTAACTGAGAATCAAGTATAACTCGCGTGATCTGAAGCTCGGTTTGGTTGCCTAGGTACGTGATGCATGATGCTGTCAGTTCGTGACCACCGGCCCGAAGCAGCGTGGCTGCGCGGATCCCCTGCAGCTGTTCGGCTCCGATGCCTGTCACTCGGTGGTGATGGCATCCGAGAGGTTCGCGGCCCACCTCTCCCGTCGCCCCTCAGTGTCGGAGTGTGACCCCTCCGTGAGGTCCGCCGCCCACCTTCTCCCCGTCGCCCCTCAGTGTCGGAGTGTGACCCCTCCGTGAGGTGCGCCGCCCACCTTCTCCCCGTCGCCCCTCAGTGTCGGAGTGTGACCCCTCCGGGAGGTCCGCCGCCCACCTTCTCCCCGTCGCCCCTCAGTGTCGGAGTGTGACCCCTCCGGGAGGTCCGCCGCCCACCTTCTCCCCGTCGCCCCTCAGTGTCGGAGTGTGACCCCTCCGGGAGGTTCGCCGCCCACCTTCTCCCCGTCGCCCCTCAGTGTCGGAGTGTGACCCCTCCGTGAGGTCCGCCGCCCACCTTCTCCCCGTCGGTCCTCAGTGTCGGAGTGTGACCCCTCCGTGAGGTCCGCCGCCCACCATCTCCCCGTCGGTCCTCAGTGCCGGAGTGTGACCCCTCCGTGAGGTCCGCCGCCCACCTTCTCCCCGTCGCCCCTCAGTGTCGGAGTGTGACCCCTCCGTGAGGTCCGCCGCCCACCTTCTCCCCGTCGCCCCTCAGTGTCGGAGTGTGACCCCTCCGGGAGGTTCGCCGCCCACCTTCTCCCCGTCGCCCCTCAGTGTCGGAGTGTGACCCCTCCGTGAGGTCCGCCGCCCACCTTCTCCCCGTCGGTCCTCAGTGTCGGAGTGTGACCCCTCCGTGAGGTCCGCCGCCCACCTTCTCCCCGTCGCCCCTCAGTGTCGGAGTGTGACCCCTCCGGGAGGTCCGCCGCCCACCTTCTCCCCGTCGGTCCTCAGTGTCGGAGTGTGACCCCTCCGTGAGGTCCGCCGCCCACCTTCTCCCCGTCGCCCCTCAGTGTCGGAGTGTGACCCCTCCGTGAGGTCCGCCGCCCACCTTCTCCCCGTCGGCCCTCAGTGTCGGAGTGTGACCCCTCCGTGAGGTTCGCCGCCCACCTTCTCCCCGTCGCCCCTCAGTGTCGGAGTGTGACCCCTCCGGGAGGTCCGCCGCCCACCTTCTCCCCGTCGGTCCTCAGTGTCGGAGTGTGACCCCTCCGTGAGGTGCGCCGCCCACCTTCTCCCCGTCGGTCCTCAGTGGCGGAGTGTGACCCCTCCGTGAGGTTCGCCGCCCACCTTCTCCCCGTCGGTCCTCAGTGTCGGAGTGTGACCCCTCCGTGAGGTCCGCCGCCCACCTTCTCCCCGTCGGCCCTCAGTGTCGGAGTGTGACCCCTCCGTGAGGTCCGCCGCCCACCTTCTCCCCGTCGGCCCTCAGTGTCGGAGTGTGACCCCCCCGTGAGGTCCGCCGCCCACCTTCTCCCCGTCGGCCCTCAGTGTCGGAGTGTGACCCCTCCGTGAGGTCCGCCGCCCACCTTCTCCCCGTCGGTCCTCAGTGTCGGAGTGTGACCCCTCCGTGAGGTCCGCCGCCCACCTCCTCCCCGTTGCCCCTCAGTGTCGGAGTGTGACCCTTCCGTGAGGTGCGCCGCCCACCTTCTCCCCGTCGGTCCTCAGTGTCGGAGTGTGACCCTTCCGGGAGGTCCGCCGCCCACCTTCTCCCCGTCGGTCCTCAGTGTCGGAGTGTGACCCCTCCGTGAGGTGCGCCGCCCACCTTCTCCCCGTCGGTCCTCAGTGTCGGAGTGTGACCCCTCCGTGAGGTTCGCCGCCCACCTTCTCCCCGTCGCCCCTCAGTGTCGGAGTGTGACCCCTCCGTGAGGTCCGCCGCCCACCTTCTCCCCGTCGGTCCTCAGTGTCGGAGTGTGACCCCTCCGTGAGGTCCGCCGCCCACCTTCTCCCCGTTGCCCCTCAGTGTCGGAGTGTGACCCCTCCGTGAGGTCCGCCGCCCACCTCCTCCCCGTTGCCCCTCAGTGTCGGAGTGTGACCCCTCCGTGAGGTCCGCCGCCCACCTTCTCCCCGTCGGCCCTCAGTGTCGGAGTGTGACCCCTCCGTGAGGTCCGCCGCCCACCTTCTCCCCGTCGGCCCTCAGTGTCGGAGTGTGACCCCTCCGTGAGGTCCGCCGCCCACCTTCTCCCCGTCGGCCCTCAGTGTCGGAGTGTGACCCCTCCGTGAGGTCCGCCGCCCACCTTCTCCCCGTCGGTCCTCAGTGTCGGAGTGTGACCCCTCCGTGAGGTCCGCCGCCCACCTTCTCCCCGTCGGTCCTCAGTGTCGGAGTGTGACCCCTCCGTGAGGTCCGCCGCCCACCTCCTCCCCGTTGCCCCTCTGTGTCGGAGTGTGACCCTTCCGTGAGGTGCGCCGCGTTCCCCGACCCTCCCCAGCGCCAGACGTCTGCCGGAGTCTGACCTTTCTGTGCGGCCCGTGTGTCCGTCAGGTCGGCCATGTACGTGCGCGCCGATCGGGTGATGAAGCTGCGGCAGATGCTGGAGACGCTCAGCTCGGTGCGCGGCCTCACCTCCGAGGAGAAAGGTGAGCGGCTTGGCGACGCCCGGCGCCGTGTCCCTGCTCTGGACAGCCGAGGACACGGGCGGCGTCGCCCGGTGCTGTGTCCCTGCTCTACACGGCCGGGGACACGGGCGGCGCCGCCCAGCGCTGTGTCCCTGCTCTGGACAGCCGAGGACACGGGCGGCGTCGCCCGGCGCTGTGTCCCTGCTCTACACGGCCGAGGACACGGGCGGCGCCGCCCGGCGCTGTGTCCCTGCTCTACACGGCCGAGGACACGGGCGGCGGCGCCCGGCGCTGTGTCCCTGCTCTACACGGCCGAGGACACGGGCGGCGCCGCCGGACGGTGTGTCCTTGCTCTACACGGCCGAGGACACGGGCGGCGCCGCCCGGCGCTGTGTCCCTGCTCTACACGGCCGAGGACACGGGCGGCGCCGCCCAGCGCTGTGTCCCTGCTCTACACGGCCGAGGACACGGGCGGCGCCGCCGGACGGTGTGTCCCTGCTCTACACAGCCGAGGACACGGGTGGCGGCGCCGGGCGCTGTGTCCCTGCTCTATACAGCCGAGGACACGGGCGGCGTCGCCCGGCGCTGTGGCCCGGCTCTATACAGCCGAGGACACGGGCGGCGTCGCCCGGCCCTGTGTCCCGGTTCTACACAGCCGAGGACACGGGCGGCGTCGCCCGGCGCTGTGTCCCTGCCCTGGACAGCCGAGGACGCGGGCGGCGCCACCCGGCTCTGTGTCCCGGCTCTGGACAGCCGAGGACTAGGGCGGTGTCGCCGGGCGTTGTGTCCCGGTTCTACACAGCCGAGGACACGGGCGGCGCTCTGCCGGGGCAACTATAGGGGCCGAGTGCTCGGGTGTGATGTTGAATGGTCCCGCTGTCGTTCAGGTTCTGTTGGTGCGCTTGCTGATCGCCGTTGTCAGGTGCCATGCGCACGTCAAAGCCAGCCTGTGTGGCTGGTGTGGTAAGCCTTTGACTTTTGCGTCCCAGAACTGGTTGGTGTGCTCCATTGTTGCTGTTTCTCACCAATGTTTGTGTCACCATCGCGTGACACGATCGCCCAGTCGAAGCCGCCGCTGGCTCGCGCTTGGCCGCGAGTTCGCCGGCGCGCACTTGAGCCTCAACCGTCGTCATCATCGGCCGTATGCTTCCATTCTATCACGCGCGGCCGCGCGTGTCCATGCTATCTCGCTCGGCTGCGCGTGGAGCAGGAATGCTCCAGCCAGACCCGCGCCGGCGGTGGTCCGCCGCCCGCGGCGGTGCAGCGCCCCGGCCTGACCCGGCGCCGCTCCGCCGCAGACCCGGAGGAGTTCCTGCAGTCGCTGCTGGCGCAGATGCTGCACGCCGAGCCGTTCCTCAAGTACTCGTCCGGCCAGGAGAGCTACCTGTACCAGCTGATCGTGGAGCGCGACGACCGGCTCATCCTGCCCAGCGTGCAGCAGCTCTTCGACCAGAGCTTCATCAGCGGCGACATCAAGCTGAAGGAGGTCAGCAGCGGCGCCCGCAGGCGCGTCACTCGAGTCGACGCCGCTCGGAAATGGAGGGGGGGGGGGGGTCGGACTTGGTGAAACGGATTATCGATTTTCCGCTGCGACTTCCCTGCCGCCGGCTTCTATACGAGTAGGCAGTCATTCTGCACGGCGTGGTGAACCAGGCATGTCGGTTTGCTCTGAAGTGTACTGTGCGGACGTCCGCAGAGCTGCGCAGAGGCCGGTGTTGTATCTGCCGCCGCCGGTGCATGACCCGCAGTGGCGTCTGTCTCTGGCCACCAGATCCCCTCCTGCCTGATCGTCCAAATGCCGCGCTTCGGCAAGGACTACAAGATGTACTCGCGCATCTTGCCAAGCATGGTGCTGGACGTGACCGACGTCATAGAGAACTGTGAGTGAATGTACGGCTTGTAGCCGGCCGGCCGAGGCCCCGTCCAGGGCGTGGACGGCTTCAGCCGCAGTCTAGGTTTTCACGTGCAGTTTGAGGATGGTGAGGTATGAATTGTCACGGTGCTAGTCTTGTTTGCCGGAGCATTGGCGGCGAACTTCGCGGTTAGAAAAATGTAGAGCTCATACTTGTCCAAGTTTGCCGACACGTGGGGAATGCATTTCACCGCTTAAATGCGTTTGGGTCTTGCGCTTAATATTTAACCATCTCTCTGAAAATCATCACCAGCCGGGTCTTCGCCTTTGCTGCGTACGCCGCAGCCGTCGGCGGATCGCTGCCACAGTCGTCAGGTCGTGCCCCTGCCCCCCGCGCGGCGGCCGGTCCGTCGCGCCGCGCTCAGCGGCCCGCCGTCTGCCGTGTTTCAGCGCCGCGGCAGTGTTTCGTGTGCGGCCGGCTGGCCGAGTGGGAGTGCAAGGAGTGCTTCGACCAGGGCGGCCTGGGCCTCATGACCACGGCCTTCTGCTCCAAGTGCAACGCCACGGTACGCGGCCGCCGCCGGTCCTGGTGCCGGGACGCGGACGGCGTCGCCGCGACCACAGCTGACAGCCTATGCTCTGGCGTTATCTGTGGACGGCGTCGCCGCGGCCCCAGCTGACAGCCTGTGCCCTGGCGTCATCTGTGGACGGCGTCGCCCCGCTTACATTGCAGCTCACGATCCCGATAGTTCAGTGACATACGGCGATTGTTTTCTCGCTGAGGCTTGTGACTAATCCATAAGCATTGCATGGCATTGCTCTCGACTACACTGACGATGCCGTCACTACCAATTGCGACGGTGGAGAGATACAAGCGGGAATCAGACTGAATTCCATGTCGTGCTTAATCTCGGTGTGCTGCCGATAAAGTGGCTCATTGTCGCGCCTCCAGTCAGGCAGATTGCCCCGTGAACGTAGTGTCCTGGACACTCGTAAGGCCGGGGGTTGTAGCCGCGACCCCGACCCCGACCCCCGACCCCGACCCCGACCCCGACCCCGACCGATGTTGGCCCTGACCCCTGGCCGTGACCTGTTCTGCAGTCGCACAGCCACCAGAGCCGCGCCTCGCATGCGCCACGCCACCCGCTGAAGGTGCCGCGCCAATTCACCGAGCTGCGCGACCACGCGCACATCCCGCGCAGCTACCTCGAGCTGTTCGCCGTGGTCTGCATCCACACGTCGCACTACGTCACCTTCACCAAGTCTGGCCACGGCCCGGACGCCTCCTGGGTCTTCTTCGATTCGATGGCGGACCGGAAAGGTGGGCGTCTAGCTGGCGGCGGCGGCGCTGTGGGTGGGTGGGGTCGGTGGAGACGACGTGGGGACGCCGTAGGGAGGAGGCGGAGGGTGTGGTCCCGTCCGAGCGACCCGTGGGTCCCTGTGTGTGTGTGGGAGGGGGGGGGGGGCAGAGGAGCATGGTCGAGAAATTGCCAGCCCAGGGACGTGCCAGCAGTAGCGCCGTTGTCAAGCAATTACATATTGCATAAGTAGGCCTCATTACTGATATATCGACAAAACAAGATTGATGGCCGCTTGTTGCGCCCTCCATGTTGTGGTTATTTGCATTTGCGGTGTTAGTGTATGTGTGGTTCAGTAGCAATGGACGACAGCCGGCCGGCATGCCCTTTTCCCAGAATTGCCGTTACACATAAGCCTGCTAAACAAAAGGCGTACCTTCCATGATCCCACACAGCGACTGCTGCCCAACATGTCCGACCCTTGACCACGTCACCACCGGCGTTTGTGCACGTCCCTGCGTCGGGCTGCACGGCTCACCCGTGCCGCCCGGCCGTGTGGTGACCGGCCCGCGCCGCCGGCCGTGTGACCGGCCCATGCCACCCGGCCGTGTGGTGACCGGCCTGCGCCGCCCGGCCGTGTGACCGGCCCGCGCCGCCCGGCTGTGTGACCGGCCCATGCCGCCCGGCCGTGTGGTGACCGGTCCGCGCCGCCGGCTGTGTGACCGGCCCGCGCCGCCTGGCCGTGTGGTGACCGGCCGTGTGGTGATCGGCCCGCGCCGCCCGGCCGTGTGACCGGCCGTGTGGTGATCGGCCCGCATCGTCCGGCGGTGTGGTGATCGGCCCGCGCCGTCCGGGCGTGTGACCGGCCCGCGCCGCCCGGCCGTGTGACCGGCCGTGCGGTGATCGGCCCGCGCCGCCCGGCCGTGTGACCGGCCGTGTGGTTACCGGCCCGCATCGTCCGGCCGTGTGGTGATCGGCGTTGGCGTTGTTCACAGGCGAAGCGCACGGCTACAACATTCCGGAGGTGGTGCGCGTGCCGGACCTGCCGCGCTGGCTGACTGAAGACGGCCGGCGCGGCCTGCTGGCCGTCACCGACGACAAGCGTCTGCCCGAGCACGCGCGCCGCCTCCTCTGCGACGGCTACATGTGCTTCTACCAGAGCCGTGACGTCATGATGTACCGGTAGGGAGACTTGAGGCGATGCAGTGGAGCGGCAGACGGGTAGAGCTCTGCGACGGCCATGGATGATTCTGTCAAGACTGCGACGTCATGATGCACCAGTAAGAAGGCTGGAGGCGGTGCGGTGGAGCGGCAGACCGGTAGAACTCTGCGACGACCGTGGATGATTCCGTCAAGGCCGTGACGTCATGATGCACCAGCAACAATGCTGGAGGCGGTACGGTGGAGCGGCAGACCGGTAGAACTCTGCGACGACCGTAGATGATTCCGTCAAGACTGTGACGTCCTGATGCACCAGTAAGAAGACTGGAGGCGGTGCGGTGGGGCGGTAGACCGATAGAACGGCAGCCGAAGGCGAGTAGATGGAGCAGTGGATGTGATCAAGAGCGCGACAGAGCGGCGGCAGTGGACTGCCGGTAGACCCGCGGGAGTGACGTGGTCCCTCCGATGATTGTGTTGTGGCTCTGCCGTTCGGACAGCGGTACCGCCTCGCCGGAATGGCGGTGAGGTGCCGTGGAGTGTGTTCGGAAGGCTTCGTGGTGCGCCGAATCAGTCGTGGGTTGACACGGCGGACCAATCAGGCGGCGATGTGGTGTTCTGTGATGACGCCCGGGGCCGTTACGTTACGCCAGTGACAGTGTTCGTAACAGGGAGCAGACCCGACCGGAAAAGTAGTGTGACCCAGCTCCACGTCGTGGCACTGGAAAATCCGGCGCATGGGGGATACCTACGTGAGACGAGGGAGTTAGTTGCAGCGATTGCATGAGACGGGAAAGATGTCGAAGTGAGATGCGTGAGGTTTAGGTTTTTCGTTCAAGCAGGGTAGAAGAGAAATATCCAGAAATGGTAGTGTGATGTTCGAGAAAACGCGTTGACGTCGCGAATTCATGATGAGCGGCTCCAGCTAGGCAGAACAGCTGGTTTGGAACCGCAATGCCCCGGTTAGTGATAAATTACCGCGCAGTCAGAACACCAGCACCTGGTGACGTCATAGCGTGCCTCCGCCGCGGCCCCATCCTCGTTCCGGGCCATGTAGGCTGCGCAGGCGAAGGTGACGATGCGTGGGAGAAAGCAGGTGCGCTGCAGCCATGAGATGGGGAGAGGGATGGGGGGGGGGGGGAGGGAGGAATCTGCACTGGGTTCTCCAAGTTGTCTATTAGATCACGCTGCTCCCCGCTGTGGCGGGCTGCTCCGTCCGGCAGCGGCGCGTCCCATCGCGGGGTGGAGGAAAAGGCCCAGAGGCCCGGGGTGGGGTGCTAGATCTGCCGGGGTGGCCTCACTCGCCCAGCTGCAATCTGTCCAGCCGCTGGGACCCCTCGTCCCCTCGGAGGGGCGGAGATCAGCCGTGGTGAGCTCACTCGCCCAGCTGCGATCTGTCCAGCCGCTGGGACCCCTCGTCCCCTCAGAGGGGCGGAGATCTGCCAGGACGGTCTCACTCGCTCAGCTGCGATCTGTCCAGCCGCTGGGACCCCTCGTCCTCTCGGAGGGGCGGTCATGTACTCCCCGATCGGCTTCGCTTTGGAGCGATGAGCGTATTCAGCTGACGAAAGGTTGTGCGCCCTGTGAGCAACAGCAGGGTTCCGTCGGAGGAAGCAGTTTTAATTGTAGACGTACCCAAGGGTATCGTGTTGGCAGCTGAACCTGTGGTCGTCGCGTGTTTCGCTCTGTTGGAAGGGTGCCGATGTGTGCCAGGGTAGGTCGTTGCGCGCGTCAGCACGCCTGCCTGTCCATCGAGGCACCGGTGCCAATGCGTGGCACCCACCAATCGTGCGGATGGTAGCGGCGGGATATGGCACGACGTAACGCCGTCCAGAGGCAAACAAGTCTAAGCGCCATCAGGTAAATTGCTAAGAAGCGTTTTTTTTCTCGGCAAACTAAGCAGGCTTGTGTTGTTGAAAAAAATCAATTCGAAATATTTTGAATGCAGGTTTTCAAAATTGTATATTTCAAATCTCGAGATGTAGCTCTTTGAGCTACGTGGAATGATATGAATAACTTTGTTTCTTAAAAATGACACTTAGGTTTTTTGCCTTCGGACGGCAGCAGACCTATTGTCGCCATTGTATTTCAATATCGGCTGGATGCGACTGCATATTTGATAACCTGAATGCTTACGTTGTTGTGAGTGAAACTCTTACGGCGAAGTGTTTCTGCGGCATCTTATACAGTGGTGATGTCGCAAGACGCATTCCTTTATGTTCTTTTGTGGTGCATGCTCGCTAGCCATGGATGCTGGTCGAAACACGGACCCGCTGGGCCACTGGCAGGCACGCACCGGCGTCTGTTCTTGAAATCGTGATATGAGGTAATTTGTGACTTGCTTGTTTAGCTTGAACCACAATAGCGAGCAAATCACGGTTGTTGTATGGGACTGGATGTGTTGAACTTGTTGCTTCCGTTCTCCGCCAATCCGGTGAGACTGTGCGAACCCATGTGTTGTTAACATTGATGGCTGTTAAATCCGAACTATAGAAAACGCATCGTCCGTCAAATATAAAACCATGGCGTGTATGGTGTGTCTGTGATGTCGCGTCACGCACCGGCGACCCGAACCGAACGGGATCACATAGTTGTGGGCCACTTCATGTTCCACCATTCACTCTCCGTTGTAGCCAGGCCGGCGGTTCTGCCACGACTGCGGTGTGTCGACCGACTGCCAAGCATTGTGGCGTCGGGCCGGATATTTCGGTTCTAAGCATAACGGCATTTTTGCAGCGTGCTGAAAAGAGAGTAAAGCAAGATTTCGTGCTGACTTTCCGTCGTCCGTCATTACCGTTCTGCTACTTGGTCAAGGCCTATACATCGTCGTTCCCTTGGGCCGTTATCGGCTGGTGCCACTGCCCAGTAAACGTGCAGTAAAATGCCGACTACCGCACTCCAGTCCACGTTGAGGCCTGCTCGGATCGCGCGGCAACAACGTGCTGTTCGCCACATGACTAATATTTTCCGTTCACCATCGGTCACTAACATGGTGTGGGAATGCCGATGAGCAAGAGCGGAATGGGTTGGTACGTTGGGAGCGCCGCCGAGCGGCCGTGGCTGCGGCGGGTGGGTGGGGGCGGGCCGGCGCGCGGCCTCCCGGTGCCGGGCCACCTGCCGTTTCCTCCACCGATCAATGGTGCCACGCTGCACACGAGCACAACACTGGCCCGGGCTGGGTCGATGCCGGTCGTGCAAATACCCCCCCCCCCCCCCTCCACACACACACGCCTGGCCGGGCTGGACGGCAGGAGACGGTGCCGACAAGCGGACTGGTGCCGCCGGGGGAGCGGCAGAGAGGCCCGACAGGCGGCGCTACCTGGTGTCCGGCCGAGCGAGGTACTGTCCGGTGTCCGGCCCAGCGAATTACTGTCCGGTATCTGGGACGCAGAGGCGCTGTCCGGTGTCTGAGACGCAGAGGTACTGTCTAGTGTCTGGGACGCAGTGGCGCTGTCCGCTGTCAAGGACGCAGTGGTGCTGTCCGGTGTCTGGGACGCAGTGGTATTGTCCGGTATCTGGGACGCAGAGGCACTGTCCGCTGTCTGGGACGCAGAGGCACTGTCCGCTGTCTGGGACGCAGAGGCACTGTCCGCTGTCTAGGACGCAGAGGCGCTGTCCGGTGTCTGGGACGCAGAGGCACTGTCCGCTGTCTGGGACGCAGGGGTACTGTCCGCTGTCTGGGACGCAGAGGCACTGTCCGGTGTCTGGGACGCAGAGGCACTGTCCGCTGTCTGGGACGCAGAGACACAGATACACACAGAGCACTAGTGCTGTATATATATATATATATATATATATATATATATATATATATATATATATATATATATATATGTATGTATATATATGTATATCGAGGGAGTAGTGAGCACTAGTGCCTCACTAGTGCTCACTAGCTGCTCCTCACTGGTGGTCTGTTGTAGTGGTCGGAGGGTACGACAGTCAATTCGGCTGATGTGTGTGTAAAGTGGATTATGTTAAAGGTGATGCGGCAGCTAATAAACGCGTGTTAGGAACGTGGCGGGTACCAGGTATCGCGACATGCAGCTCTATAATAGCTCGGCTGTCGATTGGCTCGCCAAAAGTGTTGCAATTAAAGAATAGGACGACCCGGGTGCAAAGTTCAAATCATGTCATAAAAGAACACACCTGCATCGTGATTTGGCAATAATGTGTCATGTGACGAGTAGTTCCGAGAAACACCATGTCACGGTGTGTCAGAGCGGGGAGTCGAACTGCACACGGCAAGCAGCAGGTGACCTTTGAGAACTAACGCAATGTGCGGCAGCGTTATGAGCTTGCGTGGCTCTGTTTCGCCATGCCACAGCATCAACAGGAAACATTCATGTTGGCGTATGATTGCTCATTTTTCAAATGCTTGATATCGATTTACGACAGACAGCACCATCAATACGCCGTTGGTAAGAAAATACTGTCTTACGTGGCCACGAGAATGAAACCAGTGTTTTCGTTTAATGTCTTGCATCGCTAGATGACGACTGGACGAGCGAGAGGTGCCGCGCTAGCGATATTTGTCCCGAGCGTCGGTCAAACGGCGAGGGGGAGGAGCCCTCTTTCAGAGGGGCCCATCATCGTTGCGCCTTTAAAAAAGCAATAGTCCCCCCAACTGGAGAATGGTTCTCCCAATTCCGAACAGTTTGCTCCGGTCACGAACTAGGAGACTTATGGGTAAGCGACTTTGAGCCTGTGGATCTCGAACCCCCTAATCCGACAGTCCGTCATTAATGTGGTCGATATCATCCAACAGCTTGCTTGAAAATGCAGCTGAATACATGTGCCGCTCCAAACGTATTGTGACTTTCGACCTCTGGAATGATCTAGGCACACAATGGTTTGTGATTTTTCAGTGGAAGCGGTCAACACATTCGCAAAGAAATTATGCCTATAATCATTGGTCCCGGGAGCCTCCTGCAGTACCTGTGTGCATTCCGAATAGATGAAGCAGATACGAGTACGCACTTAGCTAAACGAGTGATACCTTAGCCCTCGTGCTGATGGTGGTCCAGGTGAACCTCGCCCTGAAGGAGAGGCGGTCAGGGCTGGTATCTTCTTTCGCTGGTATCTTCTGGAGAGCAAGGGCTAGGAAATCTATCAAAATATCCTTTGATGGTGCGCACCGCTCAACCAGATGTAGTATACTTATTTCGGTGTGAAGGTCAAGGTCATATGAAGTCAACTGTTATGTTTTCCGTTTGATCAAGTTCTCTCCAAAGAACGCCTCTCGAGCATACCTTCGCGTGAACGTACCTGTATGACATGTTACAGTGTCCGCATATCCATGCGTCCTGTCGATCAAAGGTGTTTGGCACCGGACAACATAGGTCACCGAGGTCACTTGCTGGCTTCCGCTGAGCGAGAATTTTCTTTGTCAAGCTGTAATTTTTTATCACTAGTCGTAGATGGAGTCAAAACTCACAACCAATTCGAGCAGACCCCCAACTTTATTTTCAGCTTGGGTCGCTGACCTTTGCTGACCATAATAATAACGTGGTGCAAGGGAGGGAGTGAATTAAGCAAAATTTCGCCGAAAAAAAAACATCGCTCGGGCATCGAGGCCGTGGTCGTAAGGTCAACAGCCTCTACCGAAAAATAGCGTCAGATTGTGCATGCCAACGTTTGGGGGTAACGCCGACAAATTTCAAGGAATTGTGAAGCGAAACAAGCATTAAACGATCGTAGAATTTAAATACATTCACATGAGGCGCACGGATCGTTATCAAGTAATCGCACATCATGAGCTGTCCGACTGTGATGGCAGGAATATGACTATTTCCACGCTCGAAACATGTGGAGCGGAAGCGGCCCGTGCAGTTTGCTGCCTGACTCAATGGGCCATCGGACCTGACGGACCGACCTGTTCGCCGGCGTCGAGGCCTGGTTCGGTAGCCGCCTTGGAAGGGACAGGACTTTCGTTACCGGTTTATTGAGCTGGTGTCCAAGGACCACGCTCACACACGCACGCGCACACGCACACACGCGCACGCACACGCACACGCACACGCACGCATACACGCACGCGCGCGCGCACGCACGGGCACGCGCGCGCACACGCACCCCTTCCGTAAACTCCACACGCACCGCCCAAGGCTGTGTGAGCGTGTCCAGTCTAGCTGCTGTTACACAGGCCCCCATCCTGGCAGGAACGACGGAGGCTGGGATTGGTGGAGGGGCAGCTGTCCCAGGTAAATTAAACAATGCGTGTACGTCGAGGCGGGACAAGGAGCCAGCAAAATTCGGACGCGCCATCTCCCCCCGTCTCCGAGGATCATCCAGCGTTGTGTCTCACTCACGGCTCCCTCCGATTACAAGCGCTGTCTGGTCCCAAATGACTGGGCCGCGACACTCACTTCCGTCCCCAGCCACTCACTTTCGTCCCCAGCCACTCACTCCATGGCGTCCAGTCGACCTTGATCACGCACTTCCCCCCGTGTTCTCCACCATTACTCGGCTGACACAGTCCATACATCCCTGCAACACTTCCCTCCGCACAATGTCTCTTCACGACCGCTGCCTTAAGTCTTTCCCTGAGTCACGCCGCCCTCAAAAGTCTCTATCCACAGTGCCTGCCTCAGCATCTCCCCCTCCCCAAAGACCCTCGCTCGGCATCCGCCTCTCCCGACAGCCCTCCCTTCAGCACTCCCTCCCCGGCCGTCATCCGCTCCGTGCCTCCCTTCCGCGGCAGCCTTCCCTCGGCAGCCGCCCGTCGCGACTGACGGTGGCCGGCCGGCTGCCGCAGATGCCGGAGGAGCAGGGCACCGGCTCGGGCCAGCACAAGCGGCGCGCCTGGCTGCGGCGCGCCTCCACCAGCTCGGACCAGCAGCCGCCGGCGCCGCACCTGGCCACGCGGCGACTCAGCGTCTACGACCGGTTGATGGCGGAGCGGGCGCGGCGCGGCATCCGCGTCAACCCCGGTGAGGCACGAGCTGACGGCGAGGAGGTGCGCCGGTGCTGGCGGGGGGGGGGGGGGGGGGCAGGGCCACGGGAGGGAGGGAGCTGACGGCAGGGAGGTGCACCGGTGCTGGCCGGGGAGGGGGGGGGGGGGAGGGAGACGCGGGAGGGTGGGACCATGGGAAGGAGGGAGCTGACGGCGAGGAGGTGCACCGGTGCTGGCCGGGGAGGGGGGGGGGGGGGGAGGGGGGAGGGAGACGCGGGAGGGTGGGGCCATGGGAAGAAAGGAGCTGATAGTGGGGAGGTGCACTAGAACCAATGGGAAAAGAGGTACTTGGGCGGAGGCAGGGCTGTGGGAGGAGAGGAGGTGGTGGTGATTAAGCGCATTTGGACTGGCAGGGTGAGGGCATACACGCTGATTCACCAGGGTTATGAATACAGAATCTGTCTCGATAATCTGAAACGATGAAATGATCCGATCCCGCCACCCCCCCCCCCCCCCCTCCCAAGAATCTGAAGCGATGAAACGGGGCCGGCTCCGCAGCACCAAATAAACCATCACTGACCGAGCTATCAGTAGAGCCAAGTAAACACTGCGGGAAAAGTAAACAGCTGATATGCCTTTTAGTTCCCTGCCGTTAGTGTCGGCTGGCTGATGATCTGACTCATGTTGGTGATCCAGTGTCCACAGAGAGACGCGCCTCGCTCATGTCCACCGGCTCGAGTGACCCAGACTCGGGCGGCGACGTGGACTCGGGCTCGGGGGCCTCTACCGAGGCGCCGGGCCCGCGCGCGCCGCCACACGGCGCCGACCCGCTGGACGAGAGTCAGCTGACGGCCGCCGGCGGGCCGCGGCCGGGCGCGGCCCGCTGCGAGCAGGCCGAGGGCGTGCCGCTGCTGGACCACCTGCTGCAGCTGGCGGCGGCCGGCCGGCCGCCAGAGCGGCCCGAGGAGAAGAAGGTGCGCTTCAGGGAGGGCTGGCGCTCGGCGCGCGGCACGGGCAGCCTCTCGGCGCTGCCTGAGGACGCGCTGAGGGAGGCTGTCGCGCGGGCCGCACCGCACGGCATCCTCAAGAACGGCGTCGGTGTCCCGTCACCGCCGGACGAGGAGGGGGAGGAATCGGACGTCAACAGAGCAGGAGGAGAGTCGGCCGAGAGGATAGTCAAGAACGCCATTCGGCTGGCCGTGGAGAGGACGACAAGAGAGGACGAGTCGGGGGCGGAGCCCGTGGGGGCGAATAATAATTCTGGAGATGCGAATGAGGCTGCAGAGGCAATGCCCGATCAGGGGAATCCGGAACCGCACGACGAAAACGACGATGACGATGACGTCTTTGAGGCAACTGTTCAGTCGCCGCCAGACGCCGATGCGGCTAATGCCCACCCCACACCAAGAGCAGAACAAACGGAGTCGCCTCGAGCCGAGGGCGGTGGTGCTTCTCTCCAATGCACGTCAAATGGTGAAACTACAGCGAGTGAATTAGAACAAGCAGCCTATCCTCTTGAGGTTAAGAAATGTGCCGAGGAAAGTGGTAGCTGCCAACAGACTTCGACCGAGGAGATTCACCGCGAGCAGGGAGAGCCCAATGACGTGTCATCGGAACTACTCGCACATCAGACAGAGAAACTGGCGGAAGGTGAGGCAGATTCATCTACGGCCGGCCAGAACCTCAGCGAGACTGTCCACGACTTGCCGAAAGGGTCTATGGCAAGCGTCGCCTCCATTTCCGATAGCGAGCCAACCCCGCCGAAACCGAACTCAGGGGTCGAGTCGGAGTCGCGAGCACCTTTTGCCGCAGCCTCGGCCGAGGACCAAAAGCCGACACGCTTGGCCTCCGTCTCCGAGGAGTCGGAGGTGCTGGTCGCTCCCGCCGGCACAGCCATCGCCGAATCCTGCGACGACCACCTGACGGACGCCGTTCCCGCAACCTCATCCAACGGCGCCACCCGCGACCCACCGTCCCCCCGCGGCGGTGCGCGACAAAGGACCTCCCCAACCGACCTCGTCACTGGAGGAGCCACAGCGCGGGTGGCCAGGCCCCGTCGCTGGTCATTGGCGGGCGCGGGAGTCAGCCGCCGCGACCGCGCTGCCATCTCGCGGCGGCTCGTGTACGTTGCTCTTTCGGAGGAAGACGGCCAGGCAGCGCCGGCGTTCGAAGAGTCGCCCGGTGAGGTGGTGGAGTACGACCCACGGCACGGCGAGTGGCGCCACCTCTCCGGCGACGAGGGTCGGCGGGTGCTGCGCAAGAGGATGTCGCTTACTCAGACCTGCTCGCTCGACTTCGACCACATCCCGTGAGCGGGCCGGCCCTGATGAGGTCGATGGTGAGGTCGATGATGAGGTCAATGATGAGGTCGGGCCTGGTCGCGGCTCCGGGCCGACCCAGTTTTGGCCAAGCCGGTAACTTTGGTTGGCTCTGTTATGGTTTCCCATAATTTGCAATTCGCCACCCACCAATTTTAAGGAGCGACCTCTGATTTCAGTCAGAAGTGGGCTTCTACAACAGCAGATGCGGCAGTGACTGCGGCATTTGCATCACCAGACCCTTCAACAGACCTCACCTAGATATTCTGTGAACTCCGCGTAGTAAACGTTTACATTTTGACCAAGTCCTACAAGACTTGCCACTTCAGACTTCAGGTCGGGTGCTCCCCCGCCCCCATCGTCAACACAGCATTGCCGTGCAGTTTTTCCTTGACACATGGGATGCACGTGTATGATAGCAAAACACGCCCACAGTATGCACTACACGAAGCTGATAGTTCACACGCTTCACGTAAGTACAACGCTGCTAATTGTGGTACACTGCTAGTACAAATTACGCAAAACTTGGTTGTGGTAGCTCTATGCATTGTACAGCCCACAACGGCATGCAACATCTTGTGATCATTCGCTGCGACCGGCGTGTCAAGGTGCGCTGTTGAGCTTGGCCTTAACACCTAAATGCGTCATTTATTGAGCTGAACACTATCATAAGCTCAAATGCCGCTCGAAATGACTGAGGCAGAAAGGTACGAAACCTACGGCTGTCTACGCCATACTTTTCCCACATGCAGACATAGTACACCACATGTGCAAACAGCTTACCGGTAGATCTCGCCGCGGCAAACGCATACGTGCTGTTTTCTGGGTCGGCGTTTGGTTTGTGCGTGGGGTTTTGTGCGCCTGTGAATCGTCGGTAGCGATTTCGCATGCAGATGCTTAAATTAGAGTTTCGCTGCTTGCAATACGTGATCCATAGCACGAACCCAAAACTTCATTTTTATGGCTAGGTAAATAAAAGAATCTGAGTTTGGTTTGGTACCCGAGTACAAATTAAGAGCTTCAAATAGTCGTCTAAACGTATTGCGTGATGCGATTTTTTCGAATCATGCATTGTCACCACAAGACAATGTTGATCAGCAGAACCAAACCACGAGTGCGAAAATCGCTTGCACGATGGATGCGCTCACTCCGACGGAGGCCAAGTCAGCCCCGAGGCTAGTCTAATGACAGCGTTGGGCTCCGTTGCCGTGGGCCAGCGATAGTTCCGACGACGCCCGCAGAGCTGTGCTGATCTGGCGTGTAAGCAATACACAACATTCGGCGTTGGTCTGTGGCACAACACCAGCAAAATTCGGCGATAAAGTACGCTGCGATAGAGGTAGAACCACCGGTGATAACGAAACTACAGAATACTTGTTACATGCAACGATCGAAGTGTTGCATGCGATAATGCAGCGCGCGTCGCGGTCAGTGGATGCTTCCAGCATCCACTAAAAGTGCCTTGTTGGGTGTTCCCATGTTCGGTACTGAATGAGATCTGGACGCCCTGGTTATGCCGTTGTGCATGGATCGCTGTGTGTATCCAGCAGGACAGTCACACCGCTGGAATTATCAAATATCTCGTGTTAGCTTGCGGGTAAGATATATTTCCTTTCACCTCGCATTTGTTGGATGTCATTCATCGTAGTTGATCGGTGCGTACAGGAATGCGTTGAAGAATACATGCCAGCGATCCAGTAAATGGAACTTTTCACTCGAAGGTGGACTTGTCCAGACCGAGAAACTCCAGGGCATTCTCAGCGAAGATGTCGTCCTGAAAACGACTCGCATGTTGGACAACGCATGGTGGCATTTCAAAAACACACGCTTGTCCGACCCCACAGGGACTCTAGCATACATCGCAAATGAAAGGAATTGTACTTTTACATGTAAACTTTTCCCCAGATCTTGCTCCGCGCGAGCTTACTGAAGCGACGGATTCACCAAACCCGGACAGAACTCGGCTGCAGTCCCCGGCACGCGCAAGTCTTGATTACTACGATAAATATAACAGTCTAAATAGGATAGGTGGATATTACTCGCAGACCCTTCACAGCCACGTCTACAGGTGTCGCCCACGCCTGTTGAACACAGCTGTTTCCACTTGTTTTTTGCTTATCTGGGGATCGATCCAGGCCGATAGCAGAAAGGCAGGCTTACCCGCAGTTGAGCATCAGTGAGGTCCTCCACGATTTTTCCTCCTTGAAGGTCCCCCAGTGGAAAGGGGTAGTCGGACCCAAAGATGACCCGTTTCTGAAACAATGACAGCTTAGTTCAGAAACCAAAATGAAGCATATACCTGCGTACACTTAGTCAACAGCACATAAAGGTTCCAAGCACCGGACAGACGACAAACCATCGTGGATTCAGTATCCGACACTTCACGTGAACGGCATCCGGGCTGGACCCGCTTCTCGACTTCAGCCCCTTCAGAGTCCGCGCCTACACAGGGTTGTAGCGAATTCGGCCTCAGCTCCGGCCAGCTGAACCTGGACACCTGTGATGCTTATTGTGCACACCCACCATTGTAGGCTATACATAGCGCGACACGTTATCTGCACCAATAAAGTACTGGAAAAAAAGAGCCAGGGGACTATACCAGTCGTTTAAGGGGACACTCCGAGTGACTTATGTCGGCAATGGCCTTAAGCCATTAACTGAGCTTAATACCTCTGGTGGCCGTTGGGCTCCCTATTCACTGCATAATGCTGCTGTTGGCAATATATATGACCATAAGCAGCTGCCAGACCGGCCAAATAGGCCCGGATGGCGACTAAATGACCCAGCCCCACCAACCTTCCCGATAACTTCCGTCAGCAAATTGAGGGCAGCGCCGTCGTGTACCAGCGAGTCGCACCAGAACTTCCCTAACTGGGCACGAGGTGGCACTGCTGTCTCCTGGGCGCACAGGTCGGGCCGGCAGAGGAAGCCATGGTCTGAAAAGCGCATTGGTCCTCGTCGAACGGCAAGTCAGAGCAGAGCGTCAATTACCATGTCTCGAGTGCTGCATCGCTCAGATTACAATTGACCTGTCTCGCGTTATTTGACCGCCTCTAAAGCCTTGCGTGAGGACATCCAACGGAGAATGCCTCGCCTCAGCTAGCCATCTATACAACATTTGAGTCATACGACCAACTGTTGTTGTGCCCATTGCTTCATATGAGCCATGCGATGACACCATCACGGCGCCATTTTCAAATGAGCTACACCCCAAACACGACCACGCTGCCATCCCCACACGAGTCACACCTCAAACACCCGCTTCCAGGCAAACTCACCTGAGCCCCATCTGAAACACAAACCAGCGGACAGCTTTACGTGGCCAAATCTCAACACCACCACTCGGTCTCATGTAAATCACAGTCCGAGAAGCACTACGCAGCCCTGCATGAACCACACCCCAAGCACTACCTACCGACTTCACACGAGTCACATCGCCAGTACCCTCAGGCCAGCAGTCTCGCGTGACCAACACCGCTGAAACCTTCACGCAGGGCGTGAAACATGGTTGGTAGCTGATATGTCACCACGCCTGACGCAGGTCACGCCCACAAAACCATCGCGACTTCAGTCTCATGTTGGGTACAACCAGGGGGTCAATTTTTGTAAATTATGGGGGGGGGGGGCAGAACCGAAGGCCCGGCAACCTATCGACCTCTTTGTTCTCACTGGATTTAGCCCACTTTATTTTTATTGGGCGCAATGCATGTTTTTAACCTTTGTATAACTTATAAAAGTATTTAATTAAAGCAATACAGAAGTCATGCAGCGTTAGATCCAGGGGGCGGGCATTGGACTCACGCGTCTCTTCTAATCGGCACGTAAACGCGCCCCTTTAGAGGCCACCTTAGGACGCCGATGGCGCTCTTCTATACCGGTCATGGGAGGCGACACGCATTTTGGTTGTGGGAGACGTGAACGGGGTTAGCCATGGGGGACTTAAGTCATCCCCATGTTCCAGGGCTTTTCACTTTAGCCTCACAAACCACTGCGTGTCTTATGGCGCTGCGTATGTGAAGTTCGTTGCCTCGTTTATCCGCTTAGCTGATACGATATTTGTCTTGTGGTGAGACCAGCCATGACTTTTTATTATGAGAGCGGTACGAGACACCACTACGCAGAAAGATCAAAGAAAACAGTCTTTGTGTTATGATCATCTTTTACGCACGTTTTTTGTAGCATTCCAGCCAAAAGCATTGGGGGGCCAAGCCAACATGGGGGAGGCAGCTCCACATTGGGGGGAGGGGGGAGGCCAGGACCTCCACAAAAGAGTCCAAATCGACACCCGTAGGTACACTCGCTAGGGCCCTGGGAAAACCCGTAACATCACAGCGTAGCCTCGGCCCGTGTGAGTCTTACCCGAACATCACTGCAAGGACTTGTTTCGCGCGGGCTGCCCCAAACCCCACCGCGTAGTCTCACACGAGCCGCCCCCATCACCCTCACGGCACCAGCCCCAAGCAGTTACACCCCAATCGTGCACCCCACCACCTCTCAGCAGCGCCTCACGGAGAAGGGCGTCACCTCCGGCGGCCGCTCACCGATCCTGCCGACCGTGTAGGGGAAGGAGCCGCCGCCGTGCGCGAAGCAGAGCCGGAGCCGCGGGAAGCGCTGCAGCACGCCGCCCAGCAGCACCGAGACGATGGCTGTGGCCGTCTCCGCCGGCATGCCCACCAGCCAGGGCAGCCAGAACTTGGAGTGCCGACCCCCCAGCTCCATGTCCCACGGGTGCACGAACACGGCGCAGCCGAACTCCTCGCACGCCTGCGCCGGAGGGTCACGTGTCACGGTCCGGCGGGCTCACACGGCGGCTCAGGGGTGCTGACCGCAGTCTCCGAGTCAGGCCGCAGGTGGGGATGGGGCGGCGGCGCACCCTGAAGACACGCCACGCCGCGCGAGCTCCGCTCTGTGGCACGGCAGCCCGCAGGGGAGGCTGGTGCTTTATGTCAACGATTGCACGATCATTACATAATGGCTCGGGGCAACAGCTCAGTGACGGTCAGACATGACAGGAAACGGAAGGATAGTTTAGCGCGAGCAAGTGCCCCATTGACATATTACATGCCATGGAAAAACGATTGGTCTGTGACCTACCAGACCTCTCCGGCAGTCAGCAGCACATGAAGGCAAACACAACACAAAACAGTCCGTATAGGCTATTAGATAACCTTCCCACCCGAAGCATAGTAATGTTGCCACACAATCACTTTGCAAACAAAGCCGCCCCTCGCACACTCCATTCTCCGATACAGCCTATAGCTGCTACTGGACAGCACGTTTTCGTCCACGTTTCAAACCAGCGTGGCGTCCGACCAGCGGCTCCCGTCGGTGTACACAAGGGGAGCTGTTAGACATACACGATTGACAAATTCTATTGCACGCCGAACGCGTGTATGGGTTAGTTCATCAGCACTTTTAGTCACTGAATTTTCTGAATTAAAAATTGAAAAAAATACATTTACTGAATCCATAAACACATTAATCCATCGTTTACGGATTGTCGGGAACTGTCCCCGAAGGATAATCTCTAAAATACTTAAAGAAGCATGATTAAGCAAGTCTTGAATGTGTACTTGCAACAAAACGCAGATATGCCCCAACTTAGAACACACGGCGCTAAGGGCTTCATAACAATTCAGCACCCCTCGTTCTGCTTCTAAGTGCTATTCGTCAATGTGGACATTGTTGACTCCTGAGTTCATGCGTGCAACGAATATACACCAAGCCGGCGCATGAACTGTGTTGCAACAAAGATCGTTCAACAAATCTGCTATCGAGGTCAGACTAAGTTCGTTCAATAGATTGGTGAGAGCATTTAAAATCATTCAACAAAGATGTCATCGAGGTCAGACTATTCCGTTCGTCAAACTGGTGAGAGCATTTAGAAAATATCATTCAACAAAGATGTCATCGAGGTCAGACAAGTCCGTTCATCAAACTGGTGAGAACATTAAAAAATAAACTCTAGTTAAAACACTAAAAGACAGTTCCAATAGCTGTTCTTTTGTGTTTGTCGTTACTTTTCAATAGATCAATGGAGATGCAGAATTGCAGAGCGCATTGAAGACGGTACGAAATGGCTCCATTAACTTCCTGGACCATACCCAACACTTGTGCATGTGACACTGCACAGTCCGGTGCATCCATTGACTCAAGCGCATGGACTCAACAGTCCTACAGTCCCCCCCCCATGCACTTAGCTGGACCACCCCCATGCACAACGCCCCGCGCACATGGCCCACACCGGCAGCCTCTGGGCACGTGGTCACAAGGCCTACAACCTTACATGCCTTACCACACTGGGTCATCGTGCCCACCAGAGGCATGTATAGGTCATGAGGTGTCACAGGCACAGACATGCCAGAGCTCTCCGTTCGCTGGCCACAGTTCACATCACGTCAGGGGACTCGTGCAGCGTGCCTCGTGTTGACCTGAGTTTGGTCGGATGCCATATGACACAGCGCCTCAGATGTATTGTTATAATTGTATGAAGCCATGATTATATAAATAAATCATGTTGGATAAGAGCGGCTTCCAAGTGGTTTGGACTAACATGAGACTGCACACAACTTACACGAAGCACGCGCCTGGACAGATATACATATGTCAAGTCCAGCTCCTGCCTGCGATTGTGAAAGAGGTAGCGACACATATATCCCGTGTTAGACATATTTTATAGAGACAATGACCATATGTAACCCGAAGCACCCACTCTGGTGCACATCAGGGGCCCACTCGCACTGGATGTTCTCGCAACAGAGGAAGATAGGTGTATATAGGCCGGTTGAAAAACAAACTTCTGTTTAGGAGGTGGCCAGGAAATGGCTGCACTCGTTCTTTGGTCTATTTTATAAAGAATGGGAGAAACTTCAGGTCGGTATCTAAATTAAATTCATGAAACGCAGAACGCTTAAAAACATTTACATCCTTTATAGCATTACAGTCTTCGCAATGGACTTGGTTACAGTAAAGCAGGCTAGGCCATCATTGTAGCTGCCACTGCGGTTGGACGAGTCCGATGACAGCGACCATGCATGTGTAAATGTGAGTGTGACAATATGGCTTTGTGACTGTATGGGTGTGTGATTATGTGACTGTGTGACTGTGCGACTGTGCGTGTGTGCGTGTGCGTGCGCCTGCTCGTGTACGTGTGCTTGCGTGCGGGGGTGGTGGTGGGATGGTCGTGTGGGTGCATTGAAGCATGCATGCACCGTCCGTGTGTCTAAATAAAGGATGCTACGCTTCCATTCCATGCCATTTTTGAAGAAAGGAGCCCACTCGGCTGCAACATAACTTCCTAGTTCGTTTGCGATCTGTGACAGCAGAGGTATTACCAAAGTGTCGTCCGGCGCACGCCCTTCAACATCGAACAACGCCCTTCATCGAGCCCTTCAACGCTGGCTGATCAGCGCGTCCATGGTGTTTTTGCTGCGGTGGGCCTTGACGACGGGACGGAATTTGCTAACCTTCATACCCTGTATCGCCGCCTGTTTTCGAACCTGCCGCATCGCATGCTGATGGACCTTGGCCCAGAGAGGAAAGTGGAGTGAAAGCTGTTTTTCTCGCAGTTCCCACAAGCCTTTCCAAATTTCTGTGTCAGTGGAATAACAAGCCAGGGTGAGGGATTGTTGTTTTGGCTGTTACGCAGAGCCTGCACCCTCCAAGAGAGGATCCACTGGACCGGGATAATTATGCCTCCACGCGGAGCCCAAACAAGGACAGGAGACCTCGCTACTGCACGTACCTTCCAAAAGAGTTGCAGTGAGAGGGAACACCAAAGGCTTGCACCTTCCCCTAAGCGATCCGGCAAGGCGAAGTCTGCAGTTCCCACCGTCACAACTTGACAAGAGCGCCGTAGGGACGCGGACATCTGGGACAGCGATATATGTGGGAAAGCTTGCGTTCCCCGGGACATTCACAATATGGGAAAGTCTGGGATATACATTACATGTGGGAAAGTCTGCGTTCCCTGGGGCATTCACAATATGGGAAAGTCTGGGATATACATTACATGTGGGAAAGCTTGCGTTCCCCGGGACATTCACAATATGGGAAAGTCTGGGATATACATTACATGTGGGAAAGTCTGCGTTCCCCGGGACATTCACAATATGGGAAAGTCTGGGATATACATTACATATGGGAAAGCTTGCGTTCCCCGGGACATTCACAAGTGGGAAAGTCTGCTGCTATCCCATAGCGTCACCGATGGAGAATGCGTGTACCTGTGATGTAGAGTTACGTAAGGGAAGGTCTCCACCTAGCCGGCAGGGCCACGCGGTGGAGGTCTCCGCATTCCAAACAGGCCACAGATGGAAAAGTCTGCATCGATCAGACAGGGCAATATTTTCGTTTTCGACCCTCCGTGGCGGCAGAAATAGAGTACCCGGCCTCGGAGTGTGTGTGTGGCATGTAGTTACATTCGATACCCACCAACACTGTTGTGGTGATAAGAACCGATCTAACTTTGCAGAATGTTCTGATGTAACGCGAAACTGGAACTTGCTTGGATGGAGTACAAAGGAAAATGGCTGCAGCGTCATAGTGCAAGAAGTCCACATTCCGCTCCATAGCATTAAGTGTCGAGAGGGTATGGGCAGAAGGGCGGTACAAAGCACACTTTCCTTACAATATGTTCAGCAAAAGGTTAGTTCCCTTACTTGCCTTATTTCATGAACAATGGGGAGAAGGGGAGTATGGGGAGTGTAACTGACCATTCTGTTGGAACGTTCCATGACAACAGTTGTTGGTGTGCTTATGCATATGTGCGTACGGTGTGTGCGTACCGTGTGTGTGTGGCTGTGTAGGTTTGCGTCTGGGTGTGCGTGCATGTGCTTATGCATGTGTGCGCACGGTGTGTGCGTACGGTGTGTGTGTGGCTGTGTAGGTATGCGTCTGGGTGCGCGTGCATGTGCTTTTACGTGGGCGTGCATGCGTGGGCGTTTCCTCGCTGGTTTAAATAAAGGATGCTATCCCATCATACCATTGCAGTTTTAAAAGTAAGGAACTTTCCGGGCCATATTATTTTATTAATTTATAGTTATATTGATAGCCACAGTAACAAGTGCCTCACAATATAAGGCCAACGATAAACCTCAGATGTCCAGAGAAAGTGTGTATCACGCACTTAAAGGGTATAAAATTAGTGGTGATGAGCTGGCGATGAGCAGACAAGCCTACAATTCCCTTACTGCAGCTAGCTGCTAGCAACTATTACAAAACTGATGCTTGGAGCACAGCCCGACAAACCCACTTGTGTACCGCTTGTAGCCAGCTGCAGCTGCAACATTTCTGTTCGTGCTTGCAAGGGAGAGAAGCACTTCCGGTCGGTGACGGAGCTGCAGCTCTTCAACCATCCGTCAGGTTTAACCGAGGCTCCACTTACCACGAGAAGGAAATGCTCTTAAATTGGCCTGCTTTCAAATCTGTGCAGGCAATAATCATAATTAGAACTAGGCAACAATATCCACGAAGGGGTCTGTTGTACACCAAAAAACGTACTGTAATGTACCTGCGAAGTTAAACGGGCGCACATTTGTACGTTGTAGTGTACGCCGGGCACCTTTACACGTATGGCTGCCGGGTGTCATTATGACCACCAGCACACATTCGAAGGACACGGCAGTTTTGAAGCTGGGTGGTAAGCTGAGCTCTGCTTAAATTTGATTGCTGGCCGAAGAGACATGGTTCTGTCTCCGACCGGTTGGGACTCTTTCCCTTGAAAGCACGGACAGAAGTGTTGCAGCTGCAACTTACTACAAGCGGTTGTCAAGTTGTCAAGTCAAGTCAAGTCAAGTACAAGTTGTCAGGCCGCGTGTCAGTCATAGGTCTCGGAGCACTGGCTGTCGAGGACATGCGGCGAGGAAATTGTGGAATTGGTGTTCATTACCAAATCGACTCATCTCTCCAGCTCATCTCTTCAACACCAGTTCACCAACACCAACTCACGATCTGTTGCCATGATTATCAAACAGACTATAAGGACACGATAGGACACATCCTGGAGGGGTTCCAGCTTTAAAAATGCAATAGAAGCGTGGTGTAGCATTCTGTATTTAGACCAAGGGACACCCGCCCAAACACGAGCGTACGTTCAAACACGCATGCACGCATGCACGCACGCACGCAGGCACGCACGCACACACGTGCTGGAGCTGCAGCTCACACGCCAGTAGTCATTGGACCATACATACCCCAACACCAGCCACAAATTAAAGGTGGCGTTAGTTTTCTGCTATGCCTTGCTTTGACGCCTGGACTCTCATGCTACGAAGGTGCAAAATGATTATCCGAAGTGCCATGTGCTTTTGTTTTTTTATTTATGGACACTGATCTGAAGTATTTACTTTTGTTCCTAAAACCAGGCAAAGAACATCTCCTAAACAAAAGGTTGTAAGCCGTCCAAGTGGGCAGCATAGGACACCTGTTCCTTTACCAGTCACCTAATCTTTATTATATTCCTTTGCTTCGTCGGTCGCCTCAGCCAAACGCATTACTACGCTCTACGTCGCACGGAGGTGAGCTGCGCCTGTGCAGCGGGGTCACACGTGGCACTTTCCACAGATCCGGCGTGGGAAATTCGCCACCTATCGGACAAAGTCGAACGCATGGGCAAATCTGCACCTATAAATTGGTATCACACATGGGCAAATCTGCAACTGCCATATGAGGTCAAACATGGGAAGGACTGCGCTAGCACCGCAGCGCCATGCATTGGTGACATGTACTCTCCGGACAGGACCACACCTGGGGTGATTGTCATGCTCCCAACACGGTCACGCAGGCAGAAATCTGCGTTCTCTAGAGAGCTTCACACAGTGGACTCTCCGTTCGGGTTCTCTGCGCGAACACACCATCCAGACAGGCTCACAGTGTGAACACACCGTCTGGGTTCTCAATGCGAGCACACCGCCTGGAGGGTGAATATTTCTACACGTGTGACCGTCTTGGGGGGGATGGGAGGATGGGAGGATCTCTCCAGATGTGATACCGTCCGGCTAGGGCAGGACTTTAAAGCGTGGCCATGAACAGCTGTGCGTAAACTTCACACACACGCACACGCGCAAGCAAGCACGCACGCACGCACGCACGCACGCCGCACGCACGCACACACACACATACACACACACGCACGCGCGTACGCACGCACGCACGCACGCACGCACGTACGCACGCCCGCCCGCACGCACGCACGCACGCACGCACGCACAGCTACCTGCCAGACAGATCGCGCATGGAAACATGTGCATCTGGCAGGCGGGTGAACACACGAAGACATGTGCCCCGGTCAGACAAGGTGGTGCACATCCGCACGTGACACCAGCAAATCCGGTCATAGTCCATGTCAAAACGACAGCCGCATCATTGTTTGAATACATGGAGTGCTAAACGCAGACATGGTTTCACCCACGATGACATCCATGATCTATTCATTTATCAGATGGGTGGGAATTGCAAAACAATCAGTTGAAATACGAACGCGAGACAAACTTGCACGTTTGGCCGTGCGTTAGTGTCAGTATGTTGTCATTATGAATGAGACGTTTCAGCAGAATACAAAGCAGTGTGGGACGTGGAATGCTCCATGCAGGACAATCCACTCTCAGAACCGTGCAAAGCAGCTCCATGGAGTAGCACCGTGCAGTGCTGGTGCGTGGGTTCTCGACCGTCCCTCTCTCCCATCCCTTAAGCTAGGTCCCTCCCTCGTTACATGGTGAATGCCCGGCGTGAGTAGCGCGATGCGTTAACGTTGCGGCTGCCGCGATCAACTCTATATTACACTTTGCAAGAGGCCTCTGCCAGGGTGGGCCTGTTTGTTATTGCCACAGCCCCGCGTATGGGACAAAGGAGGAAAGACCAGGGCCTCGCCGGAGGGCGCTACACAACACGAGATCGGCACCAGCTAGTCGACGTTAAACATGACAGATCCGCGCCCACCAGGCAGCGTCAGATACGAGAGGTCAGCGTCTAGCAGACAGGGTCACAAACAGGACCCCTGTCCACTCCAGAAATGGTCAGATCACTCTTGGGTGGTCTGCGGCGTGTCACGGGGAATTCGTGCAGCAGGGCGTTCCAGACTGTGCCCGGGCGTTACTGATGAGCGCACGCTACCTTCCCGACGGGTCACACATCAGGTGATCTACTATTGTCTCGCATTGGAGAGGATCAAAAGTGGAGCGACAGTCAGGCAAGGTACCCACATATGGGCCGAATATATCTGTCCGTTCCAAAACGGGGGTGCTTAAGGAACAATGGTTTAGCTGCGTGTCTGGGAAGCCAAGGGTACCGGGTTCGATTCCCCTGGTGGCTGTCCCTCCTGCCAGGGCGGGGGGCAGGTGACGCCATATAGCGTCAGCCACCGAGAGTGTCAAAAAGGGTTATTGAAGGTATTGCCATTGTCATTGCCATCACTCAATGACAATGACAATATCTTCCAAAATGAGTTTAGCGGCGTAAGGAATGGACCACCCAGACCTTTCATGTCCACATGCAGGGCGATCCGCGCACACTCCCCCGAAACTGATGCCATTCAGAACTCAAACGAACTGCGTCACCTTCCAGACTGGGTCGAGCTCACGCGCGTCCAGGTTCCAGTCGCCGATGTGCGAGCCGATCTGGATGCCAGGCATGTGCAGCTCGCTCCGGACGCGCTTGATCTCCTCCACAGCCAGCAGCGGCGCCTGCATCGGCACCGTCCCTAGGGCATCGGTTCAGATCAGCAGAGCAGGCGCATGTTGAGCGAGCAGGTGCATGTCGAGAGAGCAGGTGCATGTCAAGGGAGCGGGCGCATGTCCAGGGAGCGGGCGCATGTCGACAGAGCAGGCGCATGTCAAGGGAACAGGCGCATGTCAAGGGAGCGGGCGCATGTCCAGGGAGCAGGCGCATGTCGAGAGAGCAGGCACATGTCAAAGGAGCAAGCACATGTTCAGGGAGCAGGCGCATGTCGAGGGAGCAGGCACGTGCCAAGGGAACAGGCGCATGTCGAGAGAGCAGGGCATGTCCAGGGAGCACGTGCATGTCGAGAGAGCAGGCGCATGTCCAGGGGGCAGGTGCATATCGAGGGAGCAGGCACATGTTGAGGAAGCGAGCTCAGGTCAGGGAGCACAAACAGATCGGGGGATGAGCACAGGCCAGGGAGAGCACACTCAGGTCAAGGGAGAGGGCCCGGGTCAAGGGGCCTACCGTCTACCGGTTTGGCGCTGTATGGGCGTGGTTTACACAGACTGTGACGCGGTGAGCTGTGATTAAAACTGTCAATCATTCACGTCATCCTGGTTCTTTGGGTGAGTATGCTAGACCACTATATCTCCTACCTTTTGCAACATGCAATCGACAGCAGACATGCTTACGTTTACGCTAATTGGCTGTGATGACGATCAGCAGCACGACCAGTCAGGGGTGAAGTTGGAGCACAACACCGCGTCGCCAGCGAGTTCGCTTTCAGTCCGCACAAGTGTGGCCGTGGTATCTAAGGTCAGAGTCTCACAACGTACACATTGACTTTTTACCAAGTGACATAACATCTGGGCACCCACTCTCTTCGAAAACCGGCGTCCTTTGCGTTTGTCCAAAACGTGCGTCGATGAAATGAAGTCAACAGCCCTGCCGCAGGATAAAGAACGATATCACTTAGCGAAGCCGCAGACGGAATACGAAGCGCTGATGAAAATAAGCTCTAGTATGGGATATGGGATATTGAAAGAGATGCTCAAAATAAGGATACACTAAACCTAGTCACGGATCTACCCTTGCGTTATAAGCGCAGATCATGGCCTTGTGATTCAAACGTGCCTTGGGCGAGCATCGAGAGTGCTTTGTGAGACGATCTCTGGCATAAAGGTGGCCTCGGGAAACGTGAATCTCATGCCTATCTCAGCGACAAAGGTCAATTTCGAGGCAGGTAAAATGCCTTGGTCACGAGCGTTAGCGTGGTGACCCACAGTAATTGTCCCCAAAAAGCACGCAAGCATAAGGGGATCGCGTATAGAATATGCAACATGTCATTTACATTACGATATATTACATTACAGTACATTTGCGCTTACTGTGGTTTAACTTCAGATACAGTGCACGTGGCACACGATCCGGTACACGTCTAGTACACAATCACTCCGACAGACGGCTCAGGTCAGTGCAGAGGGCACCACCGGCCTCAGTGCACATAACACGATGCCAAGCTTGACAACATCGGTGCGCATGGTAAGGCCGGTTTCAGAGGCTCAGGTCGGAAGATCCGTCTTAGATCAGGAAGCAGTCTCAGGTCAGGGCGGCAGGTTCAGGTCAGAGCTGCAGGGTCAGGTCAAGAAAGCAGAGTAAGGTCAGGGGAGCAGGGTCAGGTCAGGGGAGCAGGGAAGATTAGGGTACCAAGGTCACGTTAGAGGAGCGGGGTCCAGTCAGGGGCCAGGGCTAGGTCAAGTGGGCTGGCTCAGGTCACGTGGGTGGGCTCAGGTCAGGAAGCAGATTTCAGTTAACGAGCCATGCTCCGGTGCGGCGAGTTGATTCAAGTTGGAAAGCATCCCCAGAGGTTGGGGAATCATGCTCAGGTCAGGCAAACATGCACGACTCAAGGGACCAAACTAAGTGTAGGAAGGCAGAATCAGATCGCAGAGCGACTCAGCTCACGACGTAATACTCAGGTCGGGGCAGCAGGTGCAGGTCAGACTGACTGGGAACCATTAGCGTTTACAAGCTTTGCTCAGCGGGGTAACCAATCCACACCATGTGGGCTTAACCAGTGTTAAAAACCAGGCCCTCTCCGGTGCAGCTCGGGAGTTATTTACACAGACCAGTTTTGTAAATCAAAACTGGTCTCTGAAATCACTAATTCATTTTCGTCAACTAGATCTCTTGCAGTGACAGATCTACAGCAATCAGTGTTAATGTTTACTAGCTGAAGATCAACAGACAGAATATACACTCACAGGTGTACTCAGTTAGCAAAATCAAGTTGCCAGTAAGCCAATAGATCATGTCATATGCATACGCTTTAAGTCCATAGAAAGGTAGTCATAACTGCCAGACATAGCCACAGTTCTACCAAGTCTACTTATAGGCACACCCATTTTTTGAAAGCATGGGTTCTCCACATCTGTCGCAAAAATACAAAAAAAAAAACAACAGCGCGTTGATGAAAAGAACCCAAAGCATCTGCAGGAATTGAAAAAGGTATTACTGATCCAACACGCACGTCACAATGCGCCTTCAGAAACTGCATTCACTAAAGCGAAAGGTATCTCCCATAGAGAAAAAGCTTCAGATAGTCTTAAAGGCACAGCCAGCCCAAGCGCTGTCAGGAAATCAAGGTAGTCCAGTCGTTTGACAGATATGTTGTGTAAGTACCCTATATGACTGGGGGTAGGGCAATATTTATAGCATACATGTCAAAAAGCTAACAACGGGTCAAACGTAGTTAATGCTTGCATGAGGCCTGTGGATATGGCCGTCATCCACACGAGGACTCGTGCTGCTCGCACTCCATACGCTTGAGGGCGAGCGGCCGTCGTATAATTCAGATAACACTGCCGTGGTCTGGGACTGAGACACTGGGACAGAACTGGACACTGGGACAGAACTGGGACACTGGGACAGACTGGGACAACTGGACCAGAGCCAACGCGTGCATTGCGAGTACAGGTCACGGCTTGACGATTGAAGGGTGCCTTGCGTGACTATCGAGGACGCTGCAGGCCTCGTGTGACGAACATGAGCGCAGCAGGTGGGCCTTTGGAACTACGGGGTCTGCAGAGCGGCAAAAGCAGGTTCTGTGTGAAGCAGAGTGCCTCTGCCATCAGCACCAGCGCGGAGCCTCAAAGCACTGCGCTTCAATGCGCTCGCAGCCATTACGTCACTGCGCATGGCATGAGCAGGAAGACCTGCAGATCCTGGCTGTTACGCAGGATGAGTGCTTGCGGTGCAGATGACCGACCTCAATGTGCCAGCAGACGTTAGCTACACGACGTTAGAAGGCAAACATTGAGGTGTAATACGAGAACCTCGACGTTTATGGTCCTGGATTCAACCAGACGTCACCATGAGCACTGTTTCCAAGAGCCGGGTTCCTCATAATGTGCCATCATGTTTACTTGTTACCGTTTGTTCAATCGGTCCCCTCTGGGATGCTGAAGGACGGAGATTCGCAGAGCAGAAACCCATAACACCAATGCCATTGCTGTGGTCACTTGGAGTGTGAGTTGCGTGGCCTCTAGGCCAGACGGCTCAGGTCAGCCGGGTCATCACTGGCTTCGGCACACTTGACGCGTTGGCAATCGCGACGCCATCAGCGTGCGTGGCACAGCTGGTTTGAAAAGGAAACGGTAATTCAGATGCGACACATGTGAACAGCATTAGGAGGCAGCTTGGCGACCATTGCAACGACGCTGATGGCCATTTGACATCTAGCGTAGCGCTGGGAACAAGCAATGTTCACAGTAATAAGCTTTGAGATAAGCAAAGCCAACGCTTGGGTGGCTAGCAAACGTCACTGCAGAAGCAGCTGCACACACAGGAGCGCTCACCCAGACCGACGAACCGCGTAGGGTGCTTGGCCACGGTGGCCGCCAGGTCGTCGTTTATAATGCGTGACAGGTCAGCCGTGTCCGCGGGTTTGGCCTGAAACCCCCGTCATGGGATGACTGCACACACCCGGGCCATGACCGACAGCATGCGCACTGAATGACCACTGCATCGAATGACCACTGCATCGCGTCTCAGGGCGCACGCAAATTGTCAGCAAAGTCTCGAATGTGATTATGGATGTCAACTTTTGGTCATCGTGCAAACGTGGTCATTGCTGAGATAATCGGCATGACACAAGGAAAAATACAGCTGGCACAAAAGTGTGGTTTTTGAAGAACATCCACCAAAAACGCAGAACGCATTCGTACAGCCAGGTCCAACCAGCGTTCATGCACACAACTCTTCGGACTGCCTTTGACAATTCAAAGAGTTCGGCCCCTACCAGCAGTCTTACGTATGCCACCTCCTTGGGTCGTTTCTCCATTCAGTGGGAGAATGTGTCTATAAGGAACATTGAACGAAATCGATGCCATGCCAATAGCTGAAATCAAGCATCATCATCGCCGCTTCATCGACTTAACTCCCAGGTTCAGGGTGCAATACAAGTAGAGACTAATGTTTCAGTATACGTTGCATGCATATTGCATGGGGCAAAACATCTGGATTTGAACTTCGGCCGGAGCCTTACACATTTAGGGGCAACACCAGGAGTCGAACGTTTAGGGTTGGGCCATCCGCCCAGCTGGACCGATGTCTCTCCCTCTCACGTTCTCATAGTTTGAACAGGTCAAGCTTACCGAATGTCCTGTCTGAAATGAATACAAGTTTATGACGTGTCGGCAACCGTTAAGGAATGAGATAATTGGTTTATCAACCACGGACTGCTTGTATGTATAAACGTTAAGGTTTCCTAAGACTCATCAGCTCGGCTTCTGGAGTGGGTAAGATGACTCCATGCCGAAACAATTTGAATCCGTGTAATCATTTGAACAAAACAATTGACTTATTTTTGGGCACATGTCGCAAACAGCGGCTAACATCGAAAGCCCTCACGCACGTTTTCCATCAAGACAAGTTCCAACGCTATTTACTTGGTTTTCCGCGCAGTTGAGCGAAAATCCCATTTGAGATGCAGTGACAATCTGTTGCAGGCCCGCTGAGCGTATGTAGATGGAGTCACCCACGCCATTCAGCTGGCGGGGAGACGGCGCCAAGTTCGAGGAAGCAGCTCGCGTGCAGAAAACGTGATCCGATGCTTGATAAGGCTTCCTACCCGCGACCCGTCCCCAATGAGCCATCACTTCACTGCCGTCCACTTAAAGCCTCACAAATTAAATAACATAATGCGTCACAAGGAATGAATTAATGAAACACCGACGTACCCAGTAGCTGAACATAACTGGCACGGTGCTGAGCGCCTGCACGGTGACGCCCGTCTCGTCCATCTCCTTCAGTCGGACCTCGGGGTCCCAGCAGTTGGACTTGATGACCCGGAACAGCTGGCCATCCCGCATCATCCGTGCTGTGTCCGGCGTGCTCGGGCAGTGCTCCAGCTGAACAAAACCGCCGTAGCCATACCGCTGCAACATCCAGCATCAGCACAGCGCTTACAGCTGATCGGTTGTAGCAGATGTTTGGAGGGTGATGTGGCTTGGTATTCCAAAGACATCACAGATCAAGCCTGTGTTTGTCTTTGCTCAGCGATGTTGAGCATAACATAACAACATGTGGACACATACATCCATATCTAAATCGAAAGTGGCGCATATATGGTGACACTATATGCACAATTTATACAAATATTTACTACCGGTTCTCATTTCAACCCATTCCGGATTTAGCACCGGCTTGCATGGGGTTTTCGCCGCGGTTTTGCTGAGAAACACTGTTTTGATCCCTGTTATGTGTCAACTTCGCTTACTAAGCCTCATCAGCTCGGCTTTTGGAGTGGACAAGATGACTCTATGCAGGAATAATTTGGATCCCAGCAAGCATTTGAGCCAAATGAAACAGATTTTGAGGGCAGTGAAACGAAAAACCTGTGATGAAACGAGTTTTGAAGTTGGCTATCTCCACCACCAAATTTGCCATAGGAACGTCAGCACTTGTTACGTTTTTTTTGTCGTGTTGGAGGACGCGGCTATTGCTGTAGAAACGCACTGGTGGAAATCACAATCTCGTAGAACTGGACGTCAAACTCCAGCAACTCAACAGCTTTGGTAAATGGCTGGGCTCCTAGCTTCAGCGCTTTCCTCAAAAGTTCTAGTGATCAATAAAATTGGCACGTGATCCTCGTGCGGATGTCACCACTCACACAGGATCCAACTAAGACATTTTAGGCTCATAAACACACGCACCCAGTGATGGTTCGCTCATGCTTCAGCGGAGAAGAACCACTTAGCTAGCACAGTCACATCTAAACGATTCTGAGCTATGACTAATGACACGTACAGCGCAAAGGAGCAGAGAAGTAATGGTTCACACATCCGTGAAAGTTGAACATGAGTGATGGCGATGGCAACAGCAATCTCAAGATGCATTTGTTGCCCGCGCCCCTCTCCTCTCTTTCTCAGACTTGTATATGCCGCTGGACATAATGTCATAACGTCTCACGGCCAGCGCCCGTACCAAGACTGACCCAGGGGCGTCACCGCCAGCACAGACCTCGGCAAGGTTTGGCCACGTCCTCGGCAGGATGTGGTTGTGGATGTCGATCTTCATGGCGTGCTGCCCCGGCCACCGTCGCCACCGCGCCGCTCACTCGCCGTCGCAGTCCGGTCCTGCCCCGCGGCGGTTCTGCTCGCCGGCCCGGCTTCGGTCCGGCGGGGGAGGGGAAGCGGTCTGGTCGGTTTGTTTATGCTGAACTGCGCCGCAAGGAGGGGCGGCGGGGCGGCCGGCGAGCTGCCCCGCCGGATCTGCTCCAAAATGGGGGAGGGATCGGGATCCGAGTCGTCAAGTGGGCCACGAAGAGCCCACTCAAAACAGGGCTGCGGGGGTGTGCGAAATGGAGCGGCGTGGGACCCCTGCTGTTTTTGCCATCCTGCGGGGAGCCAAACGGACAAACTATTAGATCAGTGTTATGCGTTCCAGAGGGCTCACCAAGGCCGGTGAAAGCAGGTTGCGCTGAAGCGAATATGCTTTAAAATTTGAGTGATTCACTCAAAACAGGGCTGCGGGGGTGTTGAAATGGAGCAGCGTGGAACCCCTGTTGTTTTTGCCATCCTGTGCGGGAGGCAAACGGACAAACTATTAGATCAGTGTTATGCGTTCCAGAGGGCTCACCAAGGCCGGTGAAAGCAGGTTGCGCTGAAGTGAATATGCTTTAAAATTTGAGTGATTCACTCAAAACAGGGCTGCGGGGGTGTTGAAATGGAGCAGCGTGGAACCCCTGTTGTTTTTGCCATCCTGTGCGGGAGGCAAACGGACAAACTATTAGATCAGTGTTATGCGTTCCAGAGGGCTCACCAAGGCCGGTGAAAGCAGGTTGCGCTAAAGCAAATATGCTTCAAAATTTGAGTGATTCACTCTACAAGCCGAGATAGGTGTACGTCCTAAGCTGGGCCTTCGACACATCGTCAGTCGATGCTGAGTTCTCTCAACGCGTCATATCATGGCTGGACTTCTCCAACGCGCAAACTACTCGCCCTTTGCACGGTCAACAACGAGCGTGCCTCGCATGTTTCTTGAGCTCCGTGTTTGCATGGACTTGCCTTCGAAACTGTAGAGTGGTCTTGGTCTTCTGAGCTACTACAGTACCCTTAGCTACTCTTAACTACAGTCTCCCTCAGTTCTTTGACTTCCCCAATCGTCATTATCATCATCGCGTCATAGCCTAGACGCAAGGTTTGGCATAGCTTTCAATAGGCTTTAACGAGCTTGAGCGGACTAACAAGCTGCCTTTTAGCCTAGCTTTTGGTTCAATGGCCCTAAGCATCAGCAAGCTAACGCAAATCAAGTATTAAATGGCACCTACGAACACAATGAAAACGGACGTAAAAGACGATGATTCCAGAGACCCTGCGTTCTTGTGCAACGATAGGACATGATTTACGGATCGCCAAACAATGTCGCAAAGTTTGCCCTGTTATTCCTGCATGTCACGAGCGAGTGGCATTTCTATCATTCGTCAACGCGTCTGAACTGCAATTCTGCCATGCAATTCGTTCCCAATGTATATTCCAACAATGCACCTCGAGGACAATGCATGATCACTTGCAACACTGATTCACAAATCTAGCATGGTCCTTTGCCGTCGCCAATCTAAACGCACAATTGAAAACGGCCAAGACGAGTTCATAAGGCGCACGCTAGGGCTAGCCAACAAAAGACTGCTCAGAAGAAACATGTCGCCCACTCACACGCCTATAAACTGAACGCGACTGAGGGAGAGGAGCCGGGCTGTCGATCTCTCCATTTCAGGTGAGCTCAACACTGCGCAGCGGACCACGCTTCGCAGCTGTCGCAGCTGTCGCCGCTTCGTAACTACCGCGCTTACAGCCGCTAAGTTCTTGCACGACCCGGCCACCCATGGCGCTGATGACACCAACTGTCTGGGCGTTTACCACGGTGGCAGTTGTCCTGGTCTGATCTCAAACGGCATCAGTGGTGCCGGCTGCTTGACATTCCATGGCGGTTACGGCGTTGGCTGTCAGACGCCTGATATCAGGGACGATGGCGATTACCTGCTGTCTTATGTAACTGGTGGTGATAACCGCCTGTTTGCCTTGTGAAACTGGTGGTGCTAACCCATTGATATATTATGGCATCGATGCCGTTTTCTGCCTTTCTGTTTACCCCACCCATAGATATGTCTGCAGGGCCTTCCATTGCAGCAGCGGAGTTGTCTGCCTTGCTTCTGATGTAATAAATGGTGTTGGCTGCTCGTTCTGTAAGATCAACGACAATATTGGCTGACTGATCTTTATTCCACTAACAGTACTGTCTGCCAGTTCTCTTAAATTGCAGATAATGCTCAACGTCTCTTCTCTTACAGCATCGATAGTGCACACTGACTGGTTTCTTATGACATCCATAATGCTCACCGCCTGATTTCGTATGGCACTGATGGTGCTGGTTGTCTGATCACGCATGGTACGGGCACACGCTTCTGCCTGCCCCCCCCCCCCAAAAAAAACACTGATAGCGACGATATCCTGATATCTCCCGAGCCCAGCTGACTCTCCGACGGCGCGGGCCGCTGGCGGCGATGACCCGGGGCGCCGCCGCTGACCCCGGCGATGACCCGGGCGCGCCGCCCCGGCCCGGGGCCCTGACCCCAGCGATGACCCGGGGTGCCGCGGCCCACCCTGCCGCGACCCGAGGTCAGCCAGCTCGGCTCAGAAGCGGCGGAAAAGCTTCTCCGTCTCGGTTAGGTCATCGAAATAGTCGTACGGGTCGTCCTGGAACTTGAACGCGTTGCGGTTGTAGTACGGGTCCTGAGAGTAGGACGGGATGAACTTGCCCCGCACGTACAGCGATGTGGACGGGGAAGACAATCTGTGAGAGGGCGGGGCGTTAGAACCGGACGTTTACCTGAGTATGCTGGTCAGAGCGGCCACAAGAGAGACACAGGTGTGGAGGGCCAAAAAAGGCACAAGAAAGTCACAGGTTTCGGTGAATGCAGTGAGATTAAGAACGTCAAGAGAACCCTGTGCATAGTGTATAACTAGGACTTAATAAAAACGGTTAAGGCCAATGCAAACCAACATCTGTACTACTTCGTGGAGGACACAAGTTCATTAACTTGCCAAAATCGTAAATTATCTATTTCAACATTAGCTGCGTCCGAGATGGTTGGAACACGCCGCACATTCGACGCAGTGAATCGACGATGACGTCCCCCGTGTCTGGTGACGTCACCCCTTGTCTGGTGACGTCACCCCTTGTCTGTTGACTTGTGGAGGACGACTGCGTTCTCAATGATCAGAAGCGGGCCGCGACCGCGCATCAGTCTACGGGCCGGCGCGGCGTCGCGGGCGGACGCAGCCGGAGCCGCGGCTACTCACCCAGCCGGACACGGGTTTTCTGCCTCCTCCGGCCACGTGCAGATCTTGCTCTCGAAGTCGAACACCAGCCCCTCGTGGCAGGCCATAGCAAATGGAACCCCGTGGACGCACCAGTAGTACTGAAACGACACCCCGGCCGCGGTCAGCTGAGCCGGTGATCAGCAGACTGCGGAGGTGGAGCGATCACAGTCGGCCACAGTCTGCACGGGGAAGACGCGGGCAGCAGCGCAGCATATCATTTAGCTTGGATTCAACGCAATTCACACGCGATACTGTATATGTCTTGCTTCCACGAGCTCCCCTGCATTGCAAACGGTGGCTGAAGCGGGATAATCAGCACGTAAATGCGGGCGCGTCGCAATCCAAGTCTGCAGTAGTGCTGGGTCGTCAGCCGAGTTAGACACGCCCGGTCCGTTTATATTGACCGGACTCCAGAATGGCCGCAATAGGTCTGAACAAACCCCTTGAACGCAGTGAGTTGGTGCCGTAGCTCGTAAACCGTGAGTGGCGCTTGGTGACAGGCCGTAAACTTGATGGCACCAGACTGAGGGACAAGATACTAGGCCAGCGTCATGCGGTGTTCCTTGCATGACCTACCTTGCCACAGTCGGCATGCTGGAAGTAAGCTCCTTCTGAGCAGCTGGCTGGAGGAGGCGCCACGCCGTTTTCGCTGCCACTGGCAGCGGTTGTGGCGGCGGCGGTTGTGGTAGCGGCGCTCGTGGTGGCGTCGCTGGTGGTGGCCGTGGCGGCGGAGCTTTCGGTGGTGCCAGAGGCGGCAGAGCTCGCGGTGGTGGAAGTGGCAGTCGGGGCCTCGGTGGTTATGGTGGCCGTGGTTGCAGTGGTTGCGGTGGTGGTGGCGGACCCGCCGGCCGATGGCGGAGTGGTGTCCACTGGGTGGGCGGTCGGCAGCTCCCAGGGCGTCATCCAGCTCGGCACTGGTTTGGGGGTGGTCGTCGGCGGTTGCGGCACCTGAAGACAGAACACCATCACAGTGGTGTAGGCAGGGGTCGCATGGGTCGCGCTCTGCGGCCATGTAACCACGTGTAACGACGCTAATCATGACAGTTTCTTACTTCCAACATCTGAAGTTGCACGTTTTTGCACGTTTTTGCAGTTTCAATGCGCGTTTTATTCTTTATCTTCATTTCTACCCCGGGAATAATAAACTACCAGCAATATTGTTGCAAATTCCGTCAGCTGTTCAGGAAGTTACTCGTCACCTGGCATGGTAACGGCTGGCATTGTTTTCGCTGCTCACTCTTTTTTTCGCTCCGTATGAGATCAGCTGAAAAATCGCCACTCCTGGTGCGACATTTTGAAATGCTGGTGTAAAAAGCTTTAAGCTACCCTGACATTTTCGAAGTCTCCACAACGAGAGTCACACAAGATGGCGGATGCGTTGTTTTACTGGGGCCACATCTGATAAATCGTGTAAGTGCTGAAAAACAGCGCACAAAGATGAAAAAAATGTTTAAATCGAACAGAACCTGTGATCAATGCTAGCGGATGGCCTGCGAAGAGGAAACGTGTGTTGCATTTATCGCTTTGTTCTTGGATTAAGATTTTTCTGATGGGAAGTCTCGCCTATGACGGCAAGGGAGAAATCCATGCGAGATGGGCTGCAGCAACAGCTTATCCTCAAACACTGGGGAAAGATGGCACTGTGGCACTGCTGCAGACGTTCCGTCCACTGCGCCGCAGGCTAGGCATGGTCACCACATCTAACCAGCATCGCCTCACGCTGGACACAGTTACCACATCTGACCAACATGGCCTAGCGCAGCTTAGACCGCTCCATGCGAAAGCCAGTGGACGGAGGTTCTCAACTCAGCGGCGAGGGATCGGTGGTGCGTGGGCTCTACCTCGATTACAAAAATCAAAGCTCAGTTAATACGCATTGTATTGCTTGGATGCACAAAAGGGTCTGGGGATGGCACCAGTTTGTTTAACCGGCACATGTAATTATAAAATGGCAGCAGAACAGTGGTGCAGCGGGGGCCTGGGTGATGTGCGCAGTGCCACGACCCCGTCACCACATGCGGAGTGCTGGACTTGCAACACGGCGGTAAGGAATACGACCCCCGTGCTGGGGGGGGGGGGGGGGGCATTTACACCCGCCGTGCAAGGAAAGTCCCCTGGCGGCTGCCCAAGTGGGGTTGGGCCCGCGAGAGCGGTCGTGATGGAATTCGGACAGACAGACGGAGGAGGTCTGATTGCAGCTGACCGAACCGGGGCAAACTGACCTGCGCGGCCGTGTTGCAGTGCCGCATGACACGCCCAACCCTTCGCAGTTCTGTCCGGCAAGGTCATAGGGAAAACTATCCGATGGATTGTGTCGGCGTGGCCTGGGTCGTAGGATCAGGGAAATACCGCAACCTCTGCTCAGCAAGCGTTATCGCCGTCGCAAGCAAGGGAATAGCGAGGAGGCAGGGAAGAAGTGGGACCGCGGGAGCAGAGCAGTGGTACAGAATGTCGCGCTTGATTAAAGGGGCAAGGTTCTTGTGCGGCCTTGCAATTGAAGTCTGGCTATTGCACCATGTACGGGGTGGCAGAGTGTAAAGGAACAGAAGGATTGTGGATTGTCGGCATGAATCAATAAGGTGGTGTCGGAATCTTATCGCGTGCTGGTTGAGCAGCCTATCGCATCGTGGGTCAGTACGTCAGATTGCGAGCCGGGCCCTCTGCAGGATGGGACAAATCTGTAATCTGTAAGGATTACGGATTTGCTGTAAGGACCTCGCCACATACTGTGGCACGCGTGGCTTGCTGGCTTTCATGAGAGTTACCGCCTCTCACTTACCTTGTAATCCTTCATATTGCGATATAGCACGTTCATGAGCGCATTTTTCTCTCCGCAGAGTCCATGGAAGTCGTCCATGTCAACAGCCCACACCATGGCACCACCGTAGCCGTTGGCTTTGATGAAGTCCATTTTGATCTGAAGGGAATCCTCGTCTTCATAACCCACCCACTGGTCATCTGAAAGCGGTATGCGATTAATGTAACCATATCTGCACAAAACTGACAGCGGGATAATGTGGACAACAGAAAAAGCGAACAGAACCCGCGTCTGCGTGACCGCACGGTTTGCATACCATGGCAGCATTGGAGCGTTCGCCATTTTAGTCTTGCATCACAGTGCACCGCTCATTTTTCATCTGGCTTTCTGTAATGTTTTACACTGTTCCACAGCCACTTGAAACATTTGGACACTAAAACACTGTTCTGGAATTGTGAAAACCATGCTAGTTTCGATTCCAGCGCTCAAGTGCAGCTAGGTCATCGTTCATGGGCCAAGGTCAACTGTACTCGCAGTATGGGCAGCTTACTAAGCTCGGGCGCAAATACATCATCCTCCTCCTTGCATTAGCTGTTTGTGAAGCACTGCCTCAGTACTGGCAGCACTATTTTACCAATGTGAATGATATGAAGCACTAGCCATAGCACATCGTATCACACGCAGCAAGGAAGCACACCCTCGGCGGCGTGTCATTTCTCCATCGAACTCCCGCCCCGGTCTTCCCATACGTCCCATCCCTACCGTGGTAGGCGTAGGGGCATTTGCCGATGTCGTCGTACTTCTTGGTCCAGTTGCCGCCCTCCCCCACATGAGGGCAGATCTCGTAGTAGGCGAGGAAGCCGCGTGCCTTTGTGTAGGGGCCCTTCTTGCCGCCGCCCTCCCACTTCTTGATGCCGGCGCGCAGCCCGGTGCTGTCCTTGCTGCCCAGCGTGTAGGTGCGCCCGTAGAACGGCACCCCCACGATCAGCTTGTCCGGCGAGCAGCCCTCGGACACCCACAGCTTCAGGCCGTCGTTCTGAGGGAGTCAAGGGTTGGATGTTAAGGGTAGCCCTCTGAGACCCACAGCTTCAGGCCGTCGTTCTGAGGGAGTCAAGGGTTGGATGTTAAGGGCAGCCCTCCGAGACCCACAGCTTCAGGCCGTCGTTCTGAGGGAGTCAAGGGTTGGATGTTAAGGGCAGCCCTCTGAGACCCACAGCTTCAGGCCGTCGTTCTGAGGGGGTCAAAGTTTGGGTGTTAAGGGCAGCCCTCGGACACCCGCGGCCTCAGGCCGTCGTTCTGAGAGGGAGCAGGGGCCGGATGTTACGAGCAGCCTCCAGAGACACACAGCTTCCGGGAGTTTTTCTGAGGAGGTCCAGGGTACCAGACGTTAAAAAGCAACCCTCCAAGCCCCGTGCCTTCAGGCCGGTGCCCGCAGATTCGGAGCGCTAGACGCTGAAGGGCAACCCTTCTCCATCCACGGCTTTAGACCTCGGTACAAACAAGGCCTGGAGTTCTCTGTGTTCAAGATGCTTTGTCCGCCCGAGCATGCTCTCAGCACAGATAGCCGTTACTGAGTGTGTAGGCTCAGATTCCGTCGGCGGCAGATGGCACTGGTGTTGCCTTGCAGTCAGAAAGGTTAGGCATTGCCATTCAGTAACCGTGCTTTGTTCGTAACGCCATCAGCACGAGTTCTTACGGGCCACCGAGAGACATGCACGTAGAGGACACCTCAAAGTGCGGATAATCAATATGAGTGATGTGTGGAATGCGAACAAGCAGCGTATATAGCTGGATAAATATTGTTTTTGCAAGCCAAAGTTCAGAACGTTTTTGCCATGCTCGAACATTTCTTGAATGTTATTCATATCCTGCGGATGACAGCGTGCGCATCATCTTAGTTGGATGTTATTTTGTATGATGTGGGTCAATAATCACCGTTCACCTACCATGCCAGAGATGAGTATGCGACCTCCATGAGGATGTTACATGAAACGGTCCTTAGCATGTCCAACTCACCACATTCAGTGTCGCGTAGGCCCACTGGTCGAAGGGCCGCTTGTAAAGGGGCGAGTGGACATCGGTGAAGCCGGCCCAGTTCCCTCGCAGGTCATATGTCATCACGTGCACGGCATCGATCATCCTGAAATTCACCACGGTCACAGTCGTGGGTGATGTTGAGACGGGTGGGTGCCATGCGGGTGTCATGAGCGTGTCGGCGGGTGTCATGAGCGTGCGCCGCCAGTCGATGTCGAAAACGATGTGACGAGAGGTACTCAGTGAGCATGATCAGGTCTCTACATACCCCTCAGAAGCGTTTGTGATGTTCGTTAGGCTCCTGGCAAAGTCCTTACTTGCCGCGTCGAATATAATAATTATCCCATCTAGCATCAAGCCGTTTTTGACAACGTGGCCCCACAATAAGAGGCTCTCTTGTTGAACCTATAGCACGTCAGCTGAAAGAAAAGCTGAACAAACCCACACATGACGTGCCAACGGTGCACTCGTGGCTCCCGCTTCAGCCTTTCCACGCCGAAAGCCGACAGGAAAGCGCACCACGCACGCCCAACAGCACCCCCTCCCCCGTTCCCCAGCGCGCACCCCTATTGCTGCTCACTTGCACAGGTCGCTGACGTGGTACCCCTCCTGCAGCCGGAACTTCGCCACCGGCACGGCCATGGAGATCTCCCAGCCCATGCCCTGCGCGTCGAACGTGGCCCTCAGCTCGCCGACGAAGTCACGGAAGGCGTCCTTGTCCTTGAAGGTGCCGCCGCGGTCGGTGGCGCCCGGGTACTCCCAGTCCAGGTCGAACCCGTCGAACTGGTACTTCCGCATGAAGCCTGGCGGTGACGGTCGGCCGGGGTCAGCCGACGTGGGCAGTGGAGGGCCATCCGCACCATGCTGGGCGCAGGGCAAGGCGACCGTGGCCAACCGATCCTCAGCGTATTACAGCGATGCCAGTGAAATATGTGACGTCATGACGTGGCGTTTTGAAGTGACGTCATGACATGACATCATGTTTCTCATCAGACCTGCAGTAGCCCGCCAGTCCTGCCAGCTGCCGAATGACATAGAGAGAGAGTAAAATTTGCTCTGCTTCGTATCTCCTTCGAGGACACTTACGAACTATGGACTGGATGAACGACTTCCTCTTGCTGGGATCTCTTGCCATCTGAGAATATTTCTTTCCTCCCTCTCCCCAGCCACCGACAGCAACCAAAGTCTTCAAGCCGGGATGTTTGTCCCGAAGGCTTACAAACTTTTGGAAGCCTCCCTGGTCGACGTCCAGCTGGAACACACGTGATTAGCATGTGAACCAACCTGATGGCTCGCTAGAGACGTGACAGTCAGATTCGACAAAGAAACAAATGCACAAGGCATTCAACCTTACAGCACCACTTGTGCTTGCCTTATTTTACATCAAGCATGTTTGCATCTTTAGAGCCCGCCACATCATCTGAACGCAACATTTTGAACATTCACTGTGCATTACTTCTTCCGTCAGTTAACCTTTTTCCTGCATCGCCAGAAGAGATGAGGACCACCTCGCTCTGTGATCGACCGCGCGCCGGCACATGCCTCGCCCACTGACCTCTGGGTCAAGGACGAGCGTTCCCCAGGTGACGTTGCTGACGCCGATGAAGGAGTACACCAAGTGGGTGCACTTCTCGGCCGGGATGTCGTCGATGCCGTACTTGCCCAGGCCTTTGCGGTAGATGGCCCAGTTGCTGAAGTAGCAGATGATACGGGCGGATCTATCGCTGCCGTAGGTCCGCTGCAGGTGTGTCTGGTCCCTCACATGGTGCGACAGCGCCCCTGGCGGATATTATTGGAAACTGTGAGCGCAGGCGCTACTCCTGTCACCAGCAACAATTTTTCGTCGCCAAGATGATTTTAATCCGAAAAATAAGCATGCTAAAGAAGCGTTCATGCCAGACGTGCTTCCAACATTCCTGACAATGTTGGATAGACACGATGGCCGCGGTCGTGACCGTTGAACGAAGCATCCTGACAGCCTAACAAAAAAAACTCGACGAGCCGCCGATTAACCAGCGCTTCGTTTACAGTGGTGCAAGACACGTGGCGTGGTAACGCCACACCAACCCGACGGGCTGGCTGGTAATCTTGGGCGCATTTGCGAGACTGTGCCGTGGGTGGGAGGGTGTCCCGCGCGCCGGCAGAGGCGCGTGCAGATGGTGAGTGATGGGCAGAGATGACGGACAGGGGCACTTTCAGATGCAGAGGCACTGGCTAAAGTGGCGTCGCGAGAAGTCATAGCCGCACATGTTGTTGCTGTCACAGGCAGGTTCGATGCTGTCCTCTTGGGCGCGCCTCTGCGAAGGCTTGCCGTGTGCCGAAGGTTTGATATTTACTCCATCCCTTTCCTGAGGAAAATTCTGGCTGCGGGCCTGGCGGTCAGGCGAGTAGGCTCAAATAGAGCTGTAAGGTGGAAGGTGTGCGGGTGTGGGCGAGGGGGGGGGGCGCAGTAGGAGGAGCAGGATCAGTTTTTGTGGTCACTGGACTGTATCCGGATCTGCTCGTCGCGCTGTGGCGTTTGAACGTTGTCAGGTAGTTGATGGATGCCTTTTTTGATGACTTGGCCTTGACATTTCTGCTACCTGTTCCGGTGCCTCGACTCTTCCGACCACAACTTACAAAAGAAAAGCAAAGAAGTAACGGTTGTGATCAGGACAGTCAGATCGGAGAGGGTTCCGAGACGCGGGCCGTGCAACGGTGGCCCTAGGGCATAAAACATTTTGGTCATGGATCTGAAATGCACGCTCAGTTGACCTATCTGCAGATTTCCCTACTATAGGTGCATCTGGGCGCCGCATCAGGGATGCGTGTCTTCCTGTTCAAGACCTGTAGACAGTTCCTTGCCAAGCCGAGTTGGTTTGCTTCTCCCTACGTGTGCACCCTCCTGAGTGAGGAGCGGGTTCTGTCAGCATCGCCAGCCGTCAGTGGAGGGCCTCGCCAGCCGCCGGTGGAGGGCCCCGCCAGTCGTCGGTGGGGGCCCCGCCAGCCGTCGGTGGGGGGCCCGCCAGCCGTCGGTGGAGGGCCCCGCCAGCCGTCGGTGGGGGGCTCCGCCAGCCGTCGGTGGTGGGCTCCGCCAGCCGTCGGTGACTCACCATAGGCGCCGCCCAGTCTCCCGCTCTCCCTGGGCTCGGCCGGGTCAGCGCTGGCCCGGACCCCGGCCCCGGCCACGGTCAGCAGGCACGCGGCGGCGAAGAGGCTCCACATGCTGACGAACGCCGCTGGCGAACAGACAGGACGGATCAAAGTCGGTCTGACACAGGCTGGCAATCAGCCGGCGTGCGAATAACGCGACACAAATGCAGTGCGAGCCTCAAGTTATATGTTGCTGTATTCAAGTACAGCGCGTCCTACAATTATTGGCATCCACCATGCGTTCCAAGCTAACAAGCTCGGCACGCATGTTCACAGTCAGTAGTGATGTACCAATGCCGGCTGACCAGCACAGCACGGGAGTGGGGCACAGCTTGGTACCACTCGACACGCGCCGCAGCCTCCATGCAAGACTACCGCTCTCTCTCATTCGCAAGCTCGAACTCCCTTCCACGCCCTTGTTAAGTCCATGCTGCTTGGGTGACCGGCCCCGCTGGTAGCCGCCGCAGCGGCGAGCCTCCCCCCGGGACCTCTGGCTCGTCCGGGCCATTACCGGCGGGCCGCGGCAGCTCCCGCGGAGAGCAGGTCGACGTCCTGCCGCCGCCGGCGGTGCAGGAGACAACCGGTCCGCTCGAGACCGCCGCTGGCCGGGCCGGCCGCGTCGCAACGCTCGCTCGCTTTTTAAGCAGCTCGGCCGGTCTGCGCCGGTCCGAGCACCGTTACGGTCAAGGTTTGGGCTCCAACCAAGGTGAAGGTTCGCGGTCCGAGGAAGGGCGGGGTCAACGCGCTGTCGGAGCGCCTCCGGAAGTCACGTGACGGGACTGAGACGCTGCAGACGCCTGTCGCCTGTCAACGGTGCAGCGTGCAGCAGGCGGGTGCGCGGGTATTAGCTCCTTCAGACATTTGCCTACCCTAATTAATTGCTACAGTCACCAATTCCTACCGCTATTATTGCTACCGTAGATCTCAGCTTGCTGCATGTATGCTGTGTAAATGATCCATTGACGACCTCTGTCTACAATATGAACTACGCAATACGCGTGTTGAAAAATCCGATGTTTTCCGATGAACGGCAAAAAGCGGTGTGCTAGCCTTCGGCTCTGTTTGACCGTGTGCGCCTGCTCCATGCATTTCGTGCGCCTCAAAATGTGCGGAATGTGGTCCAGGGGAGACATAAATCAATGAGGGACGCTGATCCATATCGGATCATTAGCGCTGTGCCCAGAAACAAATGCGTGAATGGGTATGTTACTGACACAAGTTTCCGCAAATGCAACCATCACCTTTTTTCTTTTTCTTACCATCACCCGAGATCATGTAGCCAGGAGTGCCCCACCTGCAGCCCAGTGACAACAGAGCCATACGGCAACAACACAAAAACAGAAAGGGAACAAGTCGCCGCACTCCCAGCTAAGAAACACTACGAGAAAATAAAAATAACAACTAAGCACAAAAGATGATCTTTTTACATGCTAGATAAAATAACAGAAGTAAAGCGGAGCAAAAACAGTCATAGGTAAAGATAGCATATTACAGGCCACTAAATCATTCCTAGTGCCAGCATATCATAACTAGGGCAAGTGTATTTTGCATGCAAACAGGGCTGGATAAACTCTGGTCAAATTCATGCCTACTGTCTTAATATAAATTCTGCAATGCGCCACTTCGCGTCATGTTGTGGCGCTTGGCTCTGTGTAGTCAGGTACTAGCTCATGATCTCAAGAAGTGACGAACCATTATGCCTATTACTCGCATAACCGGGGACAATTCAATAGCTTTTACACAAGTTATTATGCAGCTTATTTGAGCTCAGACCATTTGTCAACAGCTAACGCACAGAAGCGAGGCCAATATTTCACACTGGGGGAAGCCATATTGGGTGATAATTGGGTCCCAATTGAGCCAATCAGGTCAATCGGTTCAATCGAGACCCTTTCAGCCAAGGGACCACCCCTCTCTGTCGCTCTAAGCGCCTTGATTTTTAGGCTCAGGATCCCAGTTTAATGCCCCTCGGGCCTGCCGTCTGTGCTTGAGAAGTCCCACGGGTGTCTGGAACTGTTAAAATGTGCTGTGCCCTCGACTCCAGAGGGGCCCTACCACCTCGGGAAGGGGCAGGATCCTTAAAGCCCCCTAGGTTACGACCGCTGCTCACACTAAATTACATATTCATCAGAGTCGAAAAGGCAAGCTTTTACTATGAACCACACGGCCACTTTGGGTCAAATATCCAACAGAAGGTCATGGAACCTGAAAGCACAGAGTCGCAATGACTCTGGTCACACACTGCTAAAACATCACAATTAGTGAAGATTACTAGAACACATTTTGACCATTAGGGCCGAGGCCATCAGATTGCTTTCTGGCATATTCCTAAATGCTAAGTTTCGAGGATATTGGAACAGCCGGGCTGCTCGCGCTGGGAGGTGAAAACGCAGTGCGGAAACGAAGCACCCTATACTGCATCGACTGCAGAGCGTCTATCCCCGTGATAATAGCATGCATCACGTACCTCGCCTCACACGTCACCGGCGAGCCAATGAACACGCTGCTAAGACCCTTCTCATGAGGGAACGGCCCCTTTCGCTATGCCGATGAAGCAAAGAGGGTATCAGATATTGTGTCCCTCACGGTCTGAACCCTTGTTCAGCGCCATCACAACCCGACGCAGAGTCTTACTGAGCTCCGAGAGCAGCTCTCCAGACGAACGGACAGCGGCACCGGCGGTGTCGTGCAGGCGTGCTCACCTGGCGTGGTCGGCGTGTCGACCGCGTCTGCCGACTCCGTCGAGCCGCCGCAGCTCCTCACCTAGCCAGCCCGCTCTGGCGGGGGTCAGCGACCGGGCGACTACCGGACCGGGGGCGGGCCGACCGGTCAGAGAGGTACCCCGTCCACCGTCCACCGTCCGCCGCCCTGCGCCCGGCGCCCGCCGCCCGCCGCCCGCCGCCCGCCGCTGCTGCCAGGAAAAAAAACACGTCAGGATCGGCTATCGCCTGGTCAACGCTGCCACAACGCACCAATGACTTTGACATTTGATATATAACATTTTGAGAACTTCAGGAACGAGCTCTCCTCCTCGCGTCTAGGCGCGTTTCTACGCTCCCATCTACACCAGCCGCCTAGACTAGTTCCCTGCGCTCCTAGTAACACCCACGCGGGTCGATGCACCTTATTATACATGTGGAATGCGACGTCCCACAGCTGTACAAATGCCTTACGACACCGTGCGATGCATGCTACTGCATTGATTCGACAGACAGCACGAACTACGTAAACATGTGGCGGGAGGTGCAGAAGTGGCAAAGCCGGGTACTCCAGCCACGTGGACACGGTACAGCCGGGCTCACCAGTCACGTGGACACGGTACAGCCGGGCACACCAGCCAGGTGGACACGGTACAGCCGAGTACATTAGCCACGTGGACACGGTACAGCCGGGCATACCAGTCAGGTGGATACGGTACAGCCGGGTACGTTAGGCACGTGGACGCGGTACAGCGGGGCACACCAGTCAGGTGGATACGGTACAGCTGGGTACGTTAGCCACGTGGACACGCCACAGACGAGTACACCAGTCACGTGGACACTTTACAGCCGGACACACCAGTCACGTGGACACGGTACAGCCGGGTACACCAGTCACGTCGACACGGTACAGCCGGGTACACCAGTCACGTGGACACGGTACAGCCGGGTACACCAGCCACGTATACACGACACAGCCGGGCACACCAACCACATGATCCCATGTTACTTGTGACAGCGGTGGCTCGTGCGGTGACGTATCTGCGAAACATCTGAGAAGTAGGGATATTTTCACCGAGTTACGGAAATCCACCAAAACCAGAAGCAGTCCACACCTCAAAGCTTCTGGTGTCATGATGCGATCTCCAGTTTTGCCTAAGCTACCAGAGTTAGACCCGGCCCGTTATAATCCTTTGCAGCTGGAGGCCTGCATTCGACGCCAAGAATGTTGCTGGTGCCGCGGTCCTCATAACATGGAAAAATCCATGAGCACCGCTGACACCGCTAGCAGATAACAGCAAATTAATTTCTTATGGCCTTCATACCTTTGTGGAACTGCGCATCGAAACCACTGCACCGGCGTCGCACGGTTCGTCGTATGAACACTTCCTACATCAATATTGCATCAGTACCGGTTTCTGACGCGTCGCATGCTAAGATTAGCCATTGTTTGTCGAGTGATCCGGGAAACACGCAACACCAGTTCAACGAAGCAATTAAAGCCAAACGTTTGAAGCGAGGTACGATTGGCTGACTTTAATCTCCTCATCAGATTCCCATAAAACGGACAAAAAACATCAACAGGTGTTTCAGTGTTCTATTTGCACTCTCGAAGACACCTGGATCACGCCTTGACATTCTTCGTTTGTAAAAAAACGTACAGAAGCTGCACGGGATAGCCACGTTAGAGTAAAATACAAAACATCGTATTGCAACATTGCTTGCTCATGTACTTTTGGTAGTTGCTCTTATTGACAATATATGCTAGTTAGCGGCTGATTGGAATGGCTTATGTGATGGCGAAGGAGACTGATGCTTATGTCCTGTGGACGAATTTATTTTGTAGACAAGACATATATGTTTTCAGGCAAGCAGAAATCTGGTTTCAACCAAGCAGCACTCTGTTTTCGACCAAGCAGTACGCTGTTTCAGATATTGGTACGAGCTGGCTAGACTGTGAATCCAGGTTCAAAATTTTTCCATGAATCTGATTCGGAGCAATCAACTTCAGCTTGAATGACCACAGCTGAAGGAGAAAATCAAGATTGAGAGAGCAGAAGCTTCGTGTAATACATTCATGACGTTTGAAATACTACAAAATTATGTGAAAATTTGAGCTTACGTAGGATGACCATCATCTCTCGTTGACCGTTCTTACTCACAATGAAGTTGCTAAAGACGCTGCTTTCCCGCAGCTGCTCATCGTCCTCTTCTTCGAATCCCGCCATACAACGCAGGATGATGACCAGCGAAGGATACAGGGTGGCAGTCTTCAATATACGCTTGTCCGCCTCTGTGTCCAAATGCCGCAGCAACTTACTTGTCGAAACCTACAGAGTATTTATCAGTCACTTATCAACGCAGACAACGGATGAGATCATAATCATCGAGGTCAACCGCAATGGAAACCGATGCCAATGGAAGTTTCCAAGATGACAAAGTCTGGACAGTGTACTTCGCTGATTGAGGTGCTCTGGTGTCAGGAGCCCCAACCGGGGCCGTCATCTATCCGTCCCCTCCCCGCCAGCGTTCCGATCCGCTCCCTCTCATCCCCTCAAACCACCGATCCGGCCGCAGAGGACTCCTGATCGGCCGGCTCGATAACGCCCGTGCCTGCCGCGCCGTAAAAAGACCGGTGCCGCAGCGTCAGCGCAAGGTCAAGTTCGTGGCCAAGGTCGACGACCCGAGCTGACGGATGTGCGGGGCCGGGAGAGGTCCCGCCGCTGACCGGTCGGGCCAAACCGGCCCCGGCGTGTCGCGGAGACCACTGGGGGACGGCTCACCGGGGTCCGGACGGACTCGGCAGGAGCTGTGAGACCCGCCCCGGCGCGCCGCGGAGACCGCGGAGCGAGGGCTCACCGGGGCCCGGACGGACTCGGCACGAGCCGTGAGACCGGCCCCGGCGTGCCGCGGAGACCACCGAGTGACGGCTCACCGGGGTCCGGACGGACTCGACACGAGCCGTGAGACCGGCCCCGGCGTGTCGCGGAGACCACCGATTAAGGGGGCTCACCGGGACCCGGACGGACTCGGCACGAGCAGTGAGACCGGCCCCGGCGTGCCGCGGAGATAGCGGAGCGAAGGCTCACCGGGGCCCGGACGGACTCGGCACGAGCCGTGAGACCGGCCCCGGCGTGTCGTGTAGACCACCGAGTGACGGCTCACCGGAGCCCGGACGGACTCGGCACGAGCCGTGAGACCGGCCCCGGCGAGGCGATCCGCGCGGTCGTCGCAGGCTTTTGCAGCCTGAGTGCAGGGTGTGGCTATGTTTGACACGAGTGCTGGCGAGTCTGGCGCGCCAACTGCGCGCTTGGTGAGCGATGCTCGCGTATATGCATGCTCCGTGCAGCGGCCGATTTAAGTCAGGCTTATTATTTCACCCAAGGATGTACTACTGCGGATCCAATTATTTAACAGGTGCCGCCGCCGCTCCTTTGCTGGTTAAAGAGATGCCATGCTGATGCCGTATCTCCATGCACGACAAATATGCGCATCATTCTCAGTTCATGTAGGTAAGATGCCCAGACTCAGTCCTGATTGAGCACAAGCAGTGTCTCTTCCTATTCAGTGCAGGGGAGAGGGGCAGTCCTCCCATCCTGTACCCAGCCCCAATTTTGAGGCAAAAGTGAGTCGAATGCGGAGCTAAACCTGTTCGTTGGCGCATTTCGGCGAGGAGTGTGACTAAATTTTCATTGCACAACCTTATCCAAATCAATTGCGACATTACGCCCCTGCTCGAGATCTTGCTTGTCCGCTGCCTGTGTGCTTGTAGATCAAAAGCGTGGATCAAATGCGCATTCGGGCGCAGAACCCGGGAGGCATTCCTAAAAATGGAGGCGAAACACGCAGACAGTATAACGAAAGGAACGAACAAAGTTCACATACAGCTGTTTTAGCCGTAATAACAAGCTTTCATTTTTGCCCACTCCCTTCGACCAGGTCAGATTGGCGTTAGTGGTTGACGAGCATCTGCGCGCGTATCCTTTGCGCTGCCTAACCCTTATTCCCCACATTCTATCACTTGTCCCTGCCAAAAAAACAATCCCTTTCCCTCTGCCTCGTTGGCATCGTTGCCGATGCACTGAGAACAACTGAACTAATTTTATGAAAGCACTGGATAGTTGAGATGATGTTTGATACGCCGAATGCAGAGAAATGAAATGGATTGAACCTAAACTGCAGTGAACGGCACCAATACTCTATTAGTTTGATGACTGCGGACATAGGTTTAGGCTGGAACAGAGATCAAATTATCTCAACCAGATCGGCAAACACACCTGCACAGAAGGCAACACAACTGGGACCCTGCTTCAAAACGGTACAGTAAGTACCCAAGACCCATGTTTACGCACACTACCGTTAATATCATAAACATTCATCTCCTGAATACGCAGCAGACAACCGGCTCGAAAGACTTCGAAAGCAAGATTTGCAAATGCTCGGAGTGAAGATGCATTCCTCAAGACATGGACTAAAACACCAAGACAAAGTACGACTCGAAATCATCTCACGTAGAGAGGTTATTCAGTTTAGACAATGTTTCAGGGCCTCATGCCCCTTAAGACCTAACATGAAGCGCGTGCATTCAGACAAGACCTATATGTAGCATCGTAGGCGTAGATATACATGTATCCTTGAAATACCAGTGGATGTCATCCTAGGTTCTTAAAGGGTCACGTTTCGTTTTTATTTGACCTTTTCTGCCGTTGTAGACGTCCACAAAGCATACAAAGGCTTCGTAAGCCAGGCTCCGCCGACACAGGCCCCACAACACAGACTTAAACACAGTACTGCAGACAAACAACGCAGGCAAGCACAGGCTTCGTAAGTCAGCGCAGCGCCGAGGTCTCTCACGGAACCACCGACATCAACGCCGCAACAGACACGACTTGCCACTGGAGCAGTGCTGGTCAGACAGGCGTCCAATGGTCATGCTCACCGATAGCTCGCTGCTGTCTGTCAGCGGCGCAAACTCAATAGACGCGCGCGAGGTCGCAAAAAGCCGGAAGTGGGAAAAAGCTTGCTCCTATGAAGGCCAG